TGAGTGTCCCCCCCAACACATAGCATGAGCCCCACTGGGATAAGGGTCACATCTGTCACATTCAACTTTGCATGCCCAGCATCTAGAACAGAGGCGGACGGAGAGAGAATGAAAGAGCATGAGCAGGGCTATATACATAAACTAGGTCTTTGAAAAACTAATTTTCTTTGTATTTCTGTCTTTTTAGAAAAGTGTCTATCTCTCAACCTATACGGATTTCGTTTGCAGGGCAAAAGAACTACCTTGAAAATTAATTTTTCTAATAGCACTTGTTACTCTTAATAAACTAGAATAATATCATGTGGATTTTCCCACTCTTAGATGGGCCTGCCAGGGATGCAGGTGGCTCAGATGTACACATTAACTAGACGCAGGGCAAACAGAACGCAGAGGTTTAGCCTTCCCTCTAGTAAGCAGCTCCTTCCTTGGAGAAAGGGCAACTATGGAAAATAGGAATCCTGCCCTTGTTCCAAAGCTCTCCCTCTTTGTACATATAAAAAGAAAGAAAACTCCAGGAAGCTGGTTACTTTCCCCATCCCATGCTCAAAATTGCTCCTTGATAGGTGTACCATAGCATTGACATTATCTGTATGACCTTTCAAAAAGCAAGATTTTATCAGTTCTGAAGCCTGTTTAACATGGAAAATTTCAGCACCTCAAACTTACTTGTTTAGCCTTCCAATGTCTAGGTCCTAGCTATAATCTTTGAGTGGTTAGTCCTGATTCAAGAATATTTACATCATTTCTTAAGTAAATGATAGTAAACAATGCTGTCTGGACAGATAACTCCCAGCCAAGTTTCTCAAAGGGCAATCAGGTACCACACTTCTTTCCTGGTATGTGCTATAATACAGATTCCCTCCAACATCTGAGGCATACAGATTATAGCAACTACTGGGATCAAGCTTTATCAAGCTCCCTAGGTGTTTCTTGTGCACTAAAATTTGAGAATCATAACAGGGAAGCATCCCTTCAATCCACAAATTGTTCAATGAAGGATTTTTATTTTTAACCCTTTGCACTTGCTTGCTTTTTTCTCAATTCCTTTATTCTACTCAGGATTTAATTTTTTAAATACCCCAGATTTTACAAAGCGCGGCAGTAGAATAAAACACTGGAGTTTCTTTTCATACAAACTTAAAAGTTTGTATGAAAGAGTTTATACAAACTCTTTTACTTCAAAGAGTAATTTTAATCTCTATAATTTTTGCTACCTGTGTCGAGTCACACTCGACATCTGAGTGCAAAGGGTTAAATGAAAGATGAGGTTTAAAGGCTCTTAGAGTAGAAAAGCAGGAAAAGCTGAGGAGAAAAGGCCAAAAGGCAGGGAGGAAGAGGACGGGAGGGAAGAGGGGAAAGTGATGGAAATGGGAACAGAGATCTAATCAAATCTTAGACATTTGAGGGCACTAACCTAGGAGCCCTGGGAGGTTCCTTCCTCTCCTTTGCCTCTCTCTAGCATAATCTGCAGGGTTATTTAAAAACTGTGCCTTTGGGCCATAACTGCCCATGGTTGCACCTAGAGACTGTCCACACAGCTGCTTCAGTTGGTCTGACAGAGCTGGCATGCCTGAGCATCCGAACCTGGGCTAAAACCCCAATATCAATTCCCAAGGTTGAAGCTTCAACTATAGGACTGACAGGCTAAGACCTAATGGTTCCAGCAGCTTGACTGAACCTTATATCTACCTGCCAGCCAGCAGAGGGATACCACAGACAATAACTGATAGCGCCTCCAATCCTGCATCACTATTTTGCTGGCCATATAAATAAAATTTCCTGTTTCCTTTCTTTCTCTCTCGTCCAACACAGTTGCATCGTGGGCATGAGCACTTCTCTCTCCTCACATATTTCTATTTGCACATATGCTACAGGGTGACAGCCTATTGATAGCAGTTTCATATTACAGACTCAAAGAATTAGAAAATGCTACAGCTGGCAGTAGGCACCAACTGAATATTCACAGTTATGAGATCAGTCCATTTACTTTCATCAGCTTTCGCCTGAGTGGTCTTTGTTGATCTTGCTTTGCAGTTGCACGTGGTCATGCGGCCCTAAACCGTGCCATTTATGTAGAATTCTAGTTTATTGTGTTGCAAACAAAACTGCTGCTTTCTTTCTGCTTACCTAGTCTGGGGTGGGCGGTGGTGGGTATGAAGTGTGTTCTGAGCCAGGAGGGAATCAGAGCCATTGGTTTAATAAAAACAACTGAGAATCGCCATTGGGTCTAAATTTCACTTAACTGAGGACATTTGCATTTGATTTTGTGATGATCTAGAATAACACAGACTTGTGTGTTTTGATCATCCCCTTCAAAATGATGCCAGAAAAAAATTGCTGCCATGGTGAATCACAAATCTCTCAATGACACTCAGCACACCTGGGCTATTATTGAAGGTTAGCTCACAAATGCTGCAATAGCCACTGGCCACAATTTCCAAGTGATTCTCTGGCAAAATAGAACAAATTTATCTTTTTGTTGTTGTTTGATGGATTGTTGCTTTGTTTTCTTGATTAACAAAACAATGTTTAGTTTCTATGAACAATGAAGAAAAAATTGGACATTCAGGGTTATCACCCTTCAAAGCTACCTTTGCATTTTGAATTATTACTAATGTCTCCTGTTTTACAAAACTGATGTAAGTGCCCAGATAAAATATATAAATATTTATTTAAATATATACATGTGTTTATTTAAATACATAAATTTGTAAGTACTGCCAGTTAATTCTCAAAAAGTTTGCCAAACTTTCAGGCATATTTCTTTTAGTTACCTTGCTTAGAAACATGCAACATCACCCCAACACTTAATCAGGCAACAAAGCTAGAGGTGGGCAGAAAAATCCAGTTCTCCTGAGGACAATCACAAATGCTGGTACACTGATGATTAACATCTGGATCACCTTAAGGGTGTTTGTGAATCAGCAGGAAATAAATTTCTGGAGAAGGCCATGGACTTGGGGATAGTTGCTTTAGTAGTTAATAACAAATGGTTTTCAGTTGATAGAAAAATATTGAAATCTGACTTATATATATATGAGGCTGATTCAAATTTGATAAACATGTCCCCAAAGGAAATTACTAGGTTTATTAAAAGCCTAGGATGGCTGCACAGACTTGCAATAGTCTTATCCTATAGTCTTTGCTGAAGGTGGAGAAACTGCTCCCCTGTCCGCCTTTCAACCAACCAAAGATGAGGGTCAATAACAAAGAAAGAGCAAGTCTGTTCTTAGTCTAAGTTAAAAGTGGCTATGAACTACCCAGATACCCCGGGCAAGCTGTCGTCCACAAAGTAAGTGTTGTTGCCTTGCTGGTAAAATGTGATGTGTTGATGACTGTTATATTACATCTAAAATCCCATTTACTGGTAATAGAAAAGTTCAGTTAAGACTTTTGCCTTATGTCTCCTGGTGCTTGATACAGCGTTGTGTGATATTACCAATTTTCGCTTCAGGCATATTCACATGCAAGAGCGAAGACTTCACAAGAATTTGCACATTTGATCCAGGGTGAAATTATGCCATTTTCATAGCAAAAATCAACTTTTCCCCGGCAGCAAAATGATACATACTTTTACACCTAGAGAAATGCCTTTATTTTCAAGGAATTCTGAAAATAATGTTGTCTTTATAGGGATTGTGATCAAGTCATTCTAGGGAGACGTCCAACTGGTAAGAGTCTTCTTGGCTTACTTTCTGACTGGGAGCAAGTTCCTTAACCCTTCTTGTTTTGGCTTTATTGTCAAAAACTAAAAAGCAAAATAGAAGTCACATGCAATCTTTTTCTCCTATGCGGCACAAAACTGCTTTGGAATACTTCCACATTTCTAACATCATTGTTACACACAGAGAAAATGTCTGTAAAAGGGCAAATTGCTGTTGATGTAACATGTGAAATTTCATCTCAATGTGCTTGCTTTTAGTGGTGTCGGAGGCAGTAGGAATTTATTCATGGAGCCCTACTGATTTGCAGACTGGGAGTAAATACCAGGCCTTTTGCAGTGATTACCAAGAGCCCCCTTCAGTAGAAATGATATACTGCCTTCCTGCATCACATTAAAGTCGAGGATTGAGGAGTGAGCCCATCAGAGCCATTCTGTACACACCTAGCCAGGCTGCAATTTATATTCAGACAGAGCTGTGAGTGGCTTTCAGAGGACAAGAGGGAGGAAGAGCATTTCTCTGGAATTTTTCCACCAAAAGCAGAAACCAAACTCCAATTTGTTACTGCAATGCTTTGAAAAATGGTTCTTTATTCTACTCAGGAAGAAATTAGCAGGTAAATTCTTCTCTTCCTATAGGATTGACGCCTAAGACTGCTAAGGATCTCCCTCTATCCCTTTTAAAAAAAATAACAACTCTCATATGATTTTTCTTTCAAATAATACATATATCCTTTCCCTAAATTTTTGTATTGAGGACTTAGTCTATGACTCTTGATTTCTGACAATATGCCAGGAATTGCCCAGCTTCATATCTCATGAACAACATCTAACTGTACCCCACAAAGGATCCTGCACTGTTACTACAGGTGAAATTGATGAGAAATTGGAAGAAAAAAGATCAATTCATGTGGCATTTGGTGGCCACCAGCCACTTCAGTTTTATTCAGTAAGTGTACGATTTTAAAGCAGAGGCTTTAAAAATGTGTTCATTGAGTCAGAAAATGTCAGTTGGGGGCAAATTTAGTGTTAAGTGGTCAAAAAGAGTCTATTGTATTATTAAATATTACATATAATATAATATATAAGCTGTTTGATCCTGTGAAATTATATTTCAATAATAACTGGTAGTTTCCATTTTTTTCCTGGAAGAAAATACACCTAAGATATTTCATTGGCATTATTATATCTAATTTTGTTGCATTTCCAAGAATAGATTTGAGGTATAAAATGCCACTTTATGTAAAAGGTAACAACCTTTAAAAGAGACTGCATGAAAATAAAAGGAATAAACGATCATCATGTCATAACAAGCATATGAATATGTACACATCTATACCAGCAAAACACAGCACAACGTCTGATGATTCCGATAGGAGTTAACTGTGGAGATGTACCAGAGATAGCAGTTTTGTGGATGGCAACACCACAGTGTCTGTAGCTTGAGGGCCATGCTGCCTTTGGATTCTGGCATAATTTGCTCTGACCTCTAATTGTTGCTTTAACTCTGTTAAAAAAAATATATTGAGAGATAAGTCAATGCATTTATAGAAAAATTAAAAGTGCAAGGTGATTATAAACTTGAAGATCCCCCAGAAATCTTTGGCTCCTACCCTGGACTCTCTCATTAAAACCCTTGACGTGCTTATTACATCAGATATGTGTTAATATTCTTTGGATTTCTAGAGAATAGAAGTTGTTAGAGAGGGCTCCCTTCCAGATTTTCTGTACATCCTGAATTGGAAGCTAACCTAGGAGTGCTATAAAAATTGAACCCATTGAAAAGATAGGAAGCACAGCAGAGAGAACAGTGTTCAGATTTTATGGCAAACATCATAAAGCACTCTTTTAATTTTGTTGGGGGTTTGTGTGAAAGAAACCATTCTAATAGCATATGGTTTGTTTTTCCAAATTGAATTCATTTTTCAAAAACCCAACGTGATTCTTTGATGACTAACTTGCACGTGCTAAATGTTTTTGATGTTATAGTACATAAAATATTATCAAATGTTTAATTTTGAAACTCCCAGGCTACCTTATTTTCTTACTACATATTTAAGCCAGTCACAGAAAAATCATGAGTGGAATAACTAATTAATTAAATGTCCCTTAATGGTATATACATTTAATGGCAGTTCTATCTTTTCTTTTTTTAAAGCATTCTGAATATTTAGATTTCTACTAAATGATTATTTCTAAATTAATTATTTTTTAAAAAACACTAATATGGCAACAATAAAATAAGTTCTTAAAGAACAACTGAATCAATCTCTCTGCAATCAGATTTCCTAGAACATATATTCACTCACTAGAAAGAATTTAGAAAGTTGGAGAAAACTACAAATCCTTTCACCAGGAAGACAATATGGGGAACATACTTTCATAGGAAAGGAATCAACTTTCACATCATAGTAATCCATGTGTTTACAGAATAAAAATGAATGTTTGTCTACCTAGCCTTGTCAAAGGTTCACAGAGCTAACATGGAGGAAAATGCTAGAAAGAGTAATATTTACATTTCTAATTTTTTTCTCTTCCCCTTCACAGCTTTTATTGGTGACAGGCTAGCTTCTGGGAAGACAGCCTACATCTCTCTCTGCGGTTTGGATACCCTTTTGCCTAGCTTTCCTGAAACATGTTTAGCTTTATTTATAAGACAGGTTCAATGATCACAATGTGGCGAGGAGGGTAGGGTACAGACAACTTAGGCTCATCCTGAGAATGTGAAAGACTGAGCATAAATAACGAAGGGACTAGGAAAGTACCCCCTACCACGCCACTCATTTGCTCACTATTCAATTGTACTGTAATCATTTCAAGTGTGTTCATATTCTTAATCAGCTTGAAAATTCTTTCAAGAAAGGAAGCTTGGCTTATTTTTCTTTACGAAGAAATGCACTTTGGGAATATAGAAAGCTGTTAACTAATGCTTACAGATGATAAGAACCCTATCATTGGTGTGGTCTTCTTAGTAACCATGTAGTGAAGGTCACCAAGAACTGGGGTGATGGATAGTGGGGTGTGATGGAGACAGAAGAACACAAAGATTGGAGCCTCGTCCATAATGTAGGATGGTGCTGGAGGAATATTTGTTGTATCCTTCAGGCATCCCAATAAATCCTTGTCTCCCTATTTTTTGATCTTCATTTCTATATTTTTGTCTTTTATGGGCTAAATATAAAGATATGATTACAACTGTTTTAAAAGTTTTTGGTTTACCTACCTGACAAATAACATAGTGGTAATAATTTTATGGTGACGTTTTAAAGTAAAAAAAAAAAACTAGTGTTATTATTATAAGGATGCCAGGTAATTCACTTCCTAATCTTTCAATTTCCTTTAAAGTGATAACAATATTCTTTGGAATTTCCTGAAAATTATGCCTTTGCTAACATATACCTGCCTATAGAAAGGGGCTTTAAATTCCTCAGGATAAATAGGATAAAGGACAAGAGTTCATTCAATAACAAATACATGTTCTTTTCAGTTTCTGTCATTTATCAAGGAAAATGATCAAAGAATAGATGAAATAATAAAGCTAGCATATATTTACTTATTGCAAATGAAATAAATCTGAAAACTATGTAATTATTATTAATAAAACATCAAGTTTGAAATAACTAGAAAAGCAGGAAGTCAGTGGAGCCTCACTTTCCTCAGGGTTCATACACTAAGGGAATATCTCCAAATGGGGCTCTCTTAGTATTTCTGCTACAAATACATCCCCTAAATAAGGCTCAAGACTAACTGAAATTGGATTGAATTCTTCAGAGCAAACAGTGTTAACAATTAGGTTTCAGAACAGGTGAGGGTAATTATTAAATTATTTAGTAATAATTAAATTATTTAATAATAATTTAACAATCATGAAAAAACATCATGATGGGATATAAACTCTTGGAAGAAAAAAAATGCATTAATTTTTTTAAAAACTTGATGGCAAAGAAACTGCCACCCGTACCTTTTTGGGTTATAAAGCCATGCCCTGTAGATGCGCAGATGACCATGTCTCGCTCTATGTCATCCCATGACTGAACCAGCTCTCCCTCTGGGGTGTACAGTGCTCTGGCTGGGTGGGCCATTTTGAGACGAGAGGAGCAGTCATCCAGCAGCTGAAACGCAAAGGGACAGCCATATAAGAATATGGAATGTCACAATATAATTAAGTGTTAAAGAATCAACGCTTTTATAAAAGAACTATTATCCTAATTGAGTATTTACTCACTTATAATTGTTAGAAACAGGTGTAGAAGGAATGGGAAGAAGTACATACAAATGTTCCTTAAAGTGCTTAAACAATGAGGAACTTCTGTCTTCTTCAGTGGAATTTTCCTCCTAGTTCTGTGTTTTTCCATGGAAGAAGGCTTCTCGCTGTTTAAGACATCCCTAAATATGATAAACCCTAGATTGAGAATGCAGACTTCCCAGAACAGCTAAAACAATTTTTTTAACGACCAAGGAACTAGAATGACAAAAGGTGAAGAGATTCAGGCTCTGTGTGACCATGGACAAGCCAGGCAACTTTATTACAAGGATCTCTTGAACTATAAAAATGAGGTTTTGGCCTAAGACCGCTCTGGCTCTTTGGTTCTTTGGTTAGAAAGTCTTTTTTTCTAATTGATAAATTTGAAAACTCTCCAGAGCAACCTTATTTAACTTTTCTCAATTTTCCTTGAAATATTCATAAAAACACATGTACAGATACAAAGTGTCAAGAGTACTAGAAAGATTGGTCAACATGCTGCCAGACTCCTGAGGGTAATTCTGTTAAAATGTGAATAAGGCCTTAAGACAAAATAACAAAAGCAGTCAGGAAGAAAGTGAGAGAGTTCTATAGACCTGCCTGTATGACTTTCACCTAACAGAGGGCCAGAAGCCTATTCCCCCAAAATGTAGGAGCCAGGTCCACAACAATCCCCGACATCGCCATCAGTACTGCTGTTTATAGATCTATTTAGGGGCTACAACTGACAACAATAGATGGAATAGGTTAATTCTCTTTGGTCACCCATAATTGTGGCAGGGGACACACTGGGCACGTGATGACACCCTGCATCTAGGAAATGAATCAGCAATATAAAGTGAAGCAAGAAGCATGATGGCGCAGTGCAACTCAAAGAGTACAGTTTTTCACCTATTATTTTGAGTAAGGGACAAATGAATTGAATTGAATAATAGTTGAAATTATCTGAGAATATGTTGCCCTCTGTAGTGTTTGATAGGCAGAGAAGAGCAATAGGAGAGTGGTCTTAAATGCAGCCACACTGCTTCTGCTAAGCAACACTAGTCAGCAACCATTTGACTAAATACTGTGCATACCACCCAATCCTCACACTCAGGAACAAGGGAGGATTCTGGCAGTTGCCGAGTAGACACTTATAGGTGACCAAGGAGAATTAACCTATTCTGTCTATTATCAAAAGATCTCTCCTTGTACAAGGAAGTAGAAATAGAAAAATCAACAATAGCAACAATGTGAGGGCTTATGAAAATTGTCAACAATATAAAGGGTACATTGTACTCAAGGTGAAAACTTTGAAAAAGATTTACAACAGGATTATATGTTAGAGAGTATCTGTGTTGTGTTCTCCCCAAATTCAATAAAATGTGACTTCCATAAACACACACACACACACACACACACACACACACACACCCAGAAATGAGGTAACAAAATCTTAAGCGAGAAAAGTATTGCTGAGACGTACGTAGGAGAGACGCTGCTGCTGCTGCTGCTGCTGATAGTAACAGCAACTAAAATGTACTGACACATTTCTAGGGGCTAAGGACTTCTCTAAGAGTTTTCAACGACAATCTACTTTCATCTTATGGAAATGATTATGCTCCTTTTGTTGATAAGAAAAATGGAGACTAGCATTACCAAGGTCATACAGCTAGTAAGAGAAGAAATGGCGTTTCAAGTTAGGATAAAGAGAAAGCTGAGTGAGAAGGGGACAGAAATTAAGAAAGTAAAAGACTCTATTACAGAAAATCAAATCAGTTTTGGGGAGGACTAGGTTGAGAAAATTTCCTAGGATATAGAGAAAGGACAAGAGATAACATTTATGAGAAAAGTTAAACATCTGGAATGTCAAGACATCCGATATTAAACCTATACATTACTGGTATTACTGGAGAAGAATCCAGAATAAAGTAAACTTAAGCAATTATTAAAAAATAGAAGAAAACTTTCCAGTCCCAAATAAAGAGCCTTGACTTCAGAAGAATAGGCTAACCTAGGATAAGGCAAAGTTCGTGAAAAAAATGAGTAACATTTAAATATAACAGGGTAAAAGGTATAGATTTCAAGCACAGGGGAAAATTCAGTTATATTTAGACTTTGTTTTCTACAACACTGAATACCAAAGAATATGGAGCAAAATCTATGAAGTTTTTAGAGGAAAAGATTTTAATATAAGAATTCTATATACAGCCATGTTATTATTTATGGTTAAAAGAAACAAATTATATCTTCCTGTATACCAAACCTTAGAAGATATATTATCCATGTATATTTCAAATTATTAAGAAATGAGCCAGTCACAGTGGCTCAGGCTAGGTGTGGTGGCTCATGCCTGTAATCCCAGCACTTTGGGAGGTTGAGGCAGGAGGATCACTTGAGGCCAGGAATTCAAGATCTCCTGGGCAACATAGTGAGATCCTGTCTCTGCCAAAAAAAAAAAGAAAAGAATCAAAATTTTTAACTATGGGAAAGTCATAATATAAAATGACTGATATTAAGCATTAGGACAACTAGAACATGATATAACTTCTACAAAAATGATCCAAAAAGAAATGAATTAAAATTTTTAAAAATAAATCTTCACAGAGAAAAAAATAAAATAAAAATGAAAAACATCACCAAAAAGGGAGGCGGACAAGGAAACGAAAAACAAAAGCATTCTTTTTCATCATTCATGGAGAAAAAAAGATGCTGTTTCCTTCCTTTTTCTCTGTTAAGAATATTTATATTTATGATTATAACCAATGTAACAAAACATAAAGTCAGAATAAGAGAAATTGTTCTTCTAAGAGAACTAGGCAAAATCTCATCATGTAAACTGAATATGATTCTATTCTTAGAAAACTTTGGTGAATCAAATGAGAAATTAATAATAAAAATAAAAGCACTCAATAAAGTGGTCAAATACAAAATTAATTTTAAAACATCAATAGTTATTCTGTTCACCAATAATAGGCATTTAGAAAATGCAGCTAGTGGAAATATGTTCTAGCAACAAAACCAACTAAGAATAACAATTATTTTAAAATGTGAGACCCTTATTAAATAATATAAAATTTTACTGAAGGACCAAAACAAACAAACAAAAAAGACTTGTTGGTATATAAAAGAATGCCATAAGCCTGGTTGCAAATATTGAATATCATAAAAGGTGTGAACTTCTTATGAAGTTAATCCATAGTCTAATACAACTACACTCGAAACCCCTGTAGGATGATTTTATGGTGTTGAAAGGTAATTTCAAACTTCACCTATCAGAATTAACAGGCAAAAATATTCAAGTAAAATTTGAGAACAAAGTGCAACAAGTGACTTCTTCCAGATATTAAAATGTATTATAAATCTATATAATTTAAGAACTATTACTTACCTTATACAACTTAAAAACATAATCCAGTATATGTAAGACTTCATTATGCTATAAAGTTGGTATTTCAACTTAGTGGGGAGGACAAAAAAAGACCAGTCAGAAAATAGGGCTGAGATAATTTTAAGCCAAGCAATACAGCAGAGAAAATAGCTTCACTCAAATTTTACACCAGATAAAAAGGACAGGGGAAAAGTAAAAAACACAATTATAAAAAATTAGAAGAAAAATTAGCTGAATGTTTATATGACCTTAGGATGGTAAAGGACTATCAGAACATTAAAAGCAATGAACAAACTTACAAAATTTATTACCTCTGTACATTAAAAAATGCCATAGACACAATGGCAAATTAGAAATTTGATACAATAACTATGATAAAGTTAGTACTTAAAAAAAAATTCTTATCAATATGAAAAATGTATCTAATAGCAAAGTAACAGGACTTAGGGAATTCAGAGATAATAAATGATAACACAAAACAAAACAAATCAAAATCATCTCTACAAGTAATTAAAGACACATAAATTAAAACATAGATATAACATTTTTCTTCTGTCAAACCTGCAAATAAATGTTTCTAAATTACTGCATTTAGTGTTGTTGATACAACAGGGAGGTGGGAATTGTCATTCACTACTTGTGAGAACATAAACTCCTGAAACATTCCTAGAAAACAAGCAGGCAATGAATATCAAAATTCTCAAGCATGTTTATGTAATTTGACTTAGCAATCTTTCTAGGAATTTATTTGAAGAAAATAGTCAGACAATAAATATTGATTTTATATATCAATATGTTGTTTATAACATTCTTCATAATAGCAAAAAATTAAAAACAGCCTAAGTGGCAAATGATAGAAAACTGAATGAATAAATAATGAATTCATTTGACAGAAGATTAGAATGCCATTGAAAATAATGTGTTTTTAAGAATGTTAAATTATATGAAGAAAAAGTCACAATAGTTTTTTAGGTTAATAGAGCATCCCACAAAATTGTAATATATACCATGTGACCTGCTATGATCACAATGGCAAAAAAATTTATAATTGTTTAGAAACCATAGAAATACATATACTAAAATTATAATAAATGGTTATATGTGGGTGATGGAATTTCCCTTTCCTACTTTGTCCTTTTATTCTTTTTCTAATTTTAATATGATAACTATATGCTGCTTTCTAATTAGAAAATGGAATAAATGTTATTTAAAAACTCAAAAAATTCATAGAGATTATTTTTAAAAATGCGATTTCAATAGAGTCATATGATTTATTTTGTGATTTTTCTAAATTCTCCATAACAATAGTCACTATCTTCATTTGCTTGGGCTGCAAATCCCACAGACTGAATGGCTTAAACAATAGACATTGATTTCTTAAAGTTCTGGCGGCTGAGAAGTTCAAGATCAAGGTGCCAGCTGATTCAATTCCTGGTGAGGGCTCCCTTCCTAACTTGTAGATGACTATGAGACAGAAAGAGGTCTCTCCCTCTCTCTCTCTTCCTCTTTGTATAAGGCCACCAATACTATCAAATTAAAGTCCCGCCCTTATGACCTCTTTAATCTTCATTATCCCATAAAAGCCCTATCTCCAAATATAGTCACACTGGGGTTTAAGTCTTCAACATATGAATTTGGGGGATACAATTCAGTCCACAACAGTCACTATTTCTTTTCTGCTTTGAGGCAACCAAAGGGATGATAGCTGAGTTTCTGTCTGGGCTGGGAGCAATGGGGAGCTGTTCTAGAAATATATAGAGATAGGTACCTGGGAGAAATTTGTGTACTTTGAAAAGATCCACATGGAGGAATTTGTTATATTTTTCCTTACTTTACCACTAAAATATCACTATTCTACAAAGATTATGTTTTCCATTTATAATAAGAAAAATAAATATAATTTAAGAAAAACATACATGAAAGGCAAAATATGAATTAAATTATGATTATTTCACTTGGTTTTTACTAAGACCTACTTATATGAGACAAAAATCAATGAATTTATAAAAATCTTTAAAAAATAAATTTAAAAATAAGGCATTTTTTGGTACAATTAAGTTCTAAAATATCTAGTCAGCTTATGACCTTTATATTATTAATTCCCAGTTTTTCAAATCTAACTAAATTTATTCAAATATCCTTTTTAAAGTGAGTAATATAAATTAAATGTTTATAAATTCTGTAATAACAAAAGTTCATGATAAAGGAACAATATTCTATAAATAATTCCTCACCCACAATCTATTTTGTGAGTTTAGTTTTCATAGACCAGGTCTCCCTCAGGGTGGGGCACAAGGGCATCACAGAGCTATTGCACGCTCCCTGTGGGCATGAGGCACTTGCCTATCCAAATCAAAAGGACCTGCTTCTTATTCTTTCAGCCTCTGCTCATGCATTCGGAACCGTTCCCGGGCTAAGAAAGAACACACTGACTTTGAGACTCTGTAGAATCAGAAAGATGTTGCAGGATCGGAAGAAGACAAACGCTTTGGGAACATAGAAGGAGGGGCTCAGGCAATCATAAATCAGAGAAAGATGTTGGTCCTGAAGAAAGACCCACTAACCCTGGAGAGAGAGAGAGCTGCCTTGGTGCATTGATGACTGATGAGCCGACACCAGTTGGAGATGAGAGTAGCCCTAGCCATGTTCAAAGAGTGGGTGGGAAGGATGTGGTTAAATCATCCAGAATAGCCACAGCAGTGAAAGCAGTTGAGAGAAAGTCTGCATTGGATGGGATTCAAATACCATCTGGGGGTTTCATTATAGAAGGTAGAGTGAAGCACTTTGAAATGTGTTCTGTTTCTCATTCTTCCAGTAAAAGTACTAACCATTGAAACTCGGAGCTTCTTTGGAATCAGTGTCATTAGCCAGACTCCCCCAGTGAAATCTGAACCCTACCCTTCCTGCTGCCTGTTTGTTTCACACACACAGTCCCTTCTCCAGAGGTATTCTTTACAGCCTGGCAGCCTGGAAGGATACATTTCTAGCTGATCACAAAGAATCTCATACAGGCCCCTAAAGACAAAAATATACAGGATGGAAAAGGAAAAGGTAGAGGTTAGAAAGAATATTTTTTTTTATAAAGCAAAGAAAGAAATACTAATAATATGCAGAAATTTTTCTAGACATTCTCTAAGTGTCTTTCTATACACTGAGGCCACATTAATCTCTACAAAATATTGTTTTCACCATGCCATTTCTTTATTCAGAGACACGTAATGATTTAAGCACTTTAGTCTGAGATAGTGTTATGGACTGAATTACAACCCTTCAAAAATCATGTTGAAGCCCTAACCCCCACTGTGACTGCATTTGAAGATAGGGCCTTTAAGGAGGCAATTAAGGTTAAATGAGGTCATGAGGGTGGGGCCCTATTCCAGTAGGACTGGTATCTTTATGAGAAGAGACACCAGAGCTTTTTCTGCCTTGGCACATATACAGAGGAAAGGCCCTGTGTGGACGCAATGAGAAGGTGGCTGTCAGCAAGCCAGAAAGGGAGGCCTCACCAGAATACAACGCTGCTGATCTTGGACATTCAGCCTCCAGAACTGTGGAAAAAAAAATAATTTCTCTTGTTTCTGTTTTTTAATACCCAGTCTGTAGTATTTAGTTATGGCAGACTGAGCAAACTAATACATACATTTTTAAATGATCTCTCCAGTCATATCTCTTTCTCCCCATTTCTCTCTCTAAGCAGCATCTATTTAAAATGTCTTATGAACTCTAACACCCATACCTTTGTGTGTGGTGCCCCCCATACTTGTTAATGTTTGTTCTGCCCAAGATGTTGAATCTTACCCATTTCTCAAGTACCATCAGAGTTCCTGATTGATTCTTCTGTAAAGTCTTGTCCCTCACTCTAGATGGGCACAGCATTCCCCTTCTCTGAACTCCTATTGAACTTCCTGCCTGCACCACGAATTTGACCTCTATCACATTCTGTTACCACATCTCTCAGAGGAATGGCAGCTTCTTTATCATATATGTTTTTCTTACAAAGAAACTGTGAATTTGTCATAAAAATGTTATATAGAACATATAGAAAAACATACAAGGAAGACAAATAAAGGTCACCCATAATATATAACTGTCTAAAATATATATATGACAATAAAATACTTCCAGTCTTTCTTCTGTATGTGTACACGCATGTGTATAAACTTTAATTCCACATGGTTTATATTATGCTTCTTTCACATAGTATATCTTAAATATCTTTATTGTCATTATTCTTTCTAAAAAGGTGATTTTAATTGAATTATATAATAATATTCCATTCTGCGTGCTACAATTCATTTAACCAATTCCCTATTGATGAGTTTTTAAGTTATTTCTAATATGGCTCTGTTTTAAATAGCCCTGTGATAAATATTCTTAATAAACAATATTTGCATATGCTTATTAAAATATCCTTGGGAAAAAGTTCTAGAAGTACATTTTCTTATGATTTATATAGCCAAATTTTCCTCCAAAGAGTTATACTTCCACCAACATGAGAGTGCCAATTTCTCTAAATACCCAAGTAAACCTTGCATATATTTTTAAAAGCTTTGCCAATATGAAATATTAATTTAATGAGAGTACAGACCATATGTTACTTCATTCCTTGTACTGCTACTACTACTATTGATGTTAATCTTTCAATTATATAGCACTATTAAATTTACAAAAATATTTTCACAGACATGAATTAGAATAATACTTCACAGCATCTTGCACAGTACCCTTCTTACATAAAGTTCATAAAAATTATATGATCATGGAATAATAGTTACAGAGTGCCTTTTGTATGCTACACTGAAAGTCACATAAATCAAAAAATCATCCATTGGCTAGATACAGGTATATGTAATCTTTGTAAAAATCATTGTAAGTTTTTGCTATCCTGAATCTGATAGGCTGTCTTTTCCCATTGTCTCTGCCATCCCCCTTAACCTGTTAATCATTTCATATTCTCTCACTATTTTATTAGTTCTAGTTGCAATAGTTAAGTGTATTTTAAAACTTGGCAACTATAACACGAGCTTTGTGATTTTTTGGAGAAACTAGCAGGGAAAAAAAACATTCTAACTTTGTCACAGTGCTTTTCTGGGAAGTTCTCTTCTGAAAAACTTTCAGTTCTTTTTAAAAAATCCCTTTCCATTCTTTCTCCCAGGTGTGCGAAGGTCCTTTACTTATATTCCTAGTTTCAAGTACACATTCTCTGCACTTTTATCTCTCACCTCTCAAGTATAGCAAATTGGTTGTCAACTTCTGAGATGCAATGCTCTCACCATTCCTATTAGAACTTCTTATCAAAGAAAAGTGATCTCCCCTTACACTTTGAAACTGGACAAATCTTTAGGGGCAGAACTCATCTGAGATGGCCCTGCTACTACTCTAGGTGCTCCTACCAGCTTCCACAAACTTCTCTAGCCAATCTCTTTCACCATCTTGCCTTTCTACCACCCCTCAGCAACATCTCATCTTTGTGTGACTTTCTCTCGTCCCAGAAAAATTCATTATATCATTTCACAAAATAAGACAAATTACTATTTAAGATATGACTGCCTTAAAAAAAAAACTATCAAAATTTAGTTAATATATGCCTAAATTTTTCATTTAAAGTTTAGGACAGAATGTCAAATTTTAGAATTATATTCCTGAAATTACAAACAATAAATCAACCACTACTCGTCTTTTCCTTAGTCAATGTTTTAACTTTGGGAAGTGGGCATTCTGCCTGTTCTAAGACTGTGGATAGTAGGAATATGATAGGCTTTCTCTACTGACTACTATTGTTTTCCTAATGTACAACAGATGTACTAAATAATTCATGATGGGTGAAAAAATTATTCTTTTGTGAACTTGATTTTAAATAGATGAGGAAAATTATTTTTAAAATTTAGATTTCAGTCTTTGGCTAGAGTGGGTTTGGCTGGCATCATTCTATGCTTGTCAAGTGTAGTATTCAATTCATACATATGCTAGACAGCATTGGATTTCCCATTTTCACACATAAAAGCTCATTTATTTATCAGATCAACCCTATCAGAAAAGTATAATTCCCATTTTATGGATGAGAAAATGAGGTTCAGTGAAATAAAGTAATTTGTCTGATCTAACAATTTAGAAATGCTAGAGCTGGGATTTGAACACTCTTTTCACACTAGACTTACCTCTGAAATAGTTCTGCCCCAGGCATAAGTGCCGTATTCAGGTCTGCCTCCATTTAGATAAATCCATACTCGTTTTGTTTGGGGTTGCTTATACAGGCTGCTCTGCTTGGCTGTAGAAGCAATTTGAGAATTTCTTTTGGATTGCAGTTCTTGGACTTCAGAAAGGTGTGCCTGTCAAAAAATGCCCAGAGAATGTCATGTTTAAAGAACTGTCTCTTTGGTGTGTGTAAAGAATATGATGAAAGCCAAAAATATCTTGTGATTAAAGTATGTTGAAAAAATTTTAGGAAGCAACTTTTAATTGCATTAGCCTCTCTTTTCACTGACTCTTCAGTAAATTCCCCCTGCTTCAATTAAACACTAAAGGCAATAACAACCATTAGAGTAATAACAATAATGAAGCACTTATTTTGGCAAAGCACTAAATTTTCATTTATAATTGAAGAAATGAAGAGATGTGTTTCTGGACTTCTGCATGGTGTTTCTCCTACTGAGAGGTTTCTCTGCATCTAACAAATGAGTTTTTGATTAGAATCACAACACCATTTCCTTTAACCAAAAAAAATACATAAGGGAGTATACATGAATGTTGTTTAAGTCCTTACTTGCTGTCTTTTATAATACAGCAGCCACTCTTATACTTTGCCAGATCCCTGCCAGGCAGCTTTTTATCCTACTTCAAGCATATCCTAGTTCAATGCTTTGCATTCATTCCCTGGTCAGTGATTTATCCTTCTTAGCTTGGCAAGAAGTCATATTTCTAGCAATGTCAATTTCTTTTTTCTAGTAACCTTGACTCAGGCACATGCCTAAGATTTAGATTGAACACATTCCACGAATTTGAGAAACCTTATTAAATAGGAACATATCATTTTGATGAAAAACTTCACAAAGCAAAAACTTTTCCCAGGTCTCTCTCCCCAGTCCTCTCTCAATAGCTGACCTTTATCTTTTCAACTTTTTTATATCTGGCAATCCTGACTGATTAACCAATTGGACTGAAACCACTTTTTGAATTTTTCACTTCTGAATGTCTCCATCGCAATTAGTATTTTGCTCCTTGCTCTTTTTACATATTAAGACATGCCCTTAGGAGTAATGAGCAATGAAGCTATAAGGCTCAACTTGACTACACTTATTACAATTACCTTTGTACATATCCACTGGGCCTTTTTCTCTTCTTTACTAAGGTCATAATTTCTGGTCTCCATTCAAACAAAGCAGACTTTCATATGAGCTGGCTGTCTTTTAGATAGCTACTCTCCAAATGCCAACTCAATGCTTGGCATATGCTTATATGGCCATAACCGATCAGATGCTGAGAAATGTATTAATAGAATAATTTTAAAATTCAATATTGTACTTTTAAATGCTTATAAAAGAGGCAGAGCCTTTGATGTTTGAAATCCTAACGAACATACCTCTGTATGTTGTATAAGTTCCATGAGTTTAATTTCCTCTTGAGTCTGCTTGGTCCAACCTCCTTCAACCACCACTGGCTGCACAGGGCTCTTGGTGGGAACCATGGTGGCCGGCTGACATGCTGCTACTCGCCGCCCTGAGGAAACAAGTCTCTAGAAATTTGATTTCTGATGATAGGCTTTCAGATTTCAAATAAATTGGCTTGGCTTTCTATGCATAAATCATTCTACCTAGGAGCACAGGTTAAAATACTAAATATATCATAAAAGCAAAGATGCCTAAGGTAATAATATCTAACAATACCTCTTCATGTGGGAGCTTGAGGCTTTAAATAGCCGGGAGAGGCATACTCACTCTACAGATAGCAAAGAAAGATAACATGCTGACTTCCGCACTGGCCCCAGCCTCACATCCAGGATATGGTTCAGCAGTAATTTAGTCAAATAGAATTCATGACCTTATATAGTTCCTATCATCTCTTCCATTCCTGGAACATATGTTTTGTTCTCTTCACTAATAATAAGCCTTTCCCCCACAATTAGCTTAGCAGCCTGGGGATTAAGTATCTCTAAAATAATATTAACCCAAGAGACAGGAGACTTTTTTTCCTATCTAATAATACCCTGTGAGCACGATTAGTTTCTGACACCTCTGCTGTGCCCTCTATGCTGTTAACATGCTGTGGTAAAAGAAAATATTTATTGGAATACAGTATTCTAAAGAAGCACAGGCGTAATTTAATGTGTGGTAATTCCAATTTATATATTCTTCCAACTAGACCACTTTAAATTATTTTAAAAGAGGTTTTAAAAGTCACATTTATGAAATTGTTTTTCTGTATTGAAATATACTCAGCAATGAGTTTCATTCTGACCTCTAAATTTCTTAAGTAAAAATAATGCTTTCTCTTATGTATTCTTTCCAGAAATCTATCTTGAGCAATAACTACAGGTCAGGTATTTTGCTGGATAATGCAAGCACAAACATTGCCTCAAGTTTGGAAGGGAAGGCAGACATCAAGGAAATGATTACACCGATAGTTGATTGCAATTATGCTGCACCATGGAAGTACAGGGTCTATAAGAGCTTCTGACAGAAGTTGCTAACCTACTCTGAGGCATCAGAGAAGGCTTCTTTGAGAAAGTAAACACTTAGGTTGATAAAATAATAAAACTACTAAAATGAAGTTGAGTCTCAATTTTGTTGCCAACATACTGCTAATGGGCAGATTTTCAGACTATGACTACAAACAAAACTCTTAGAAAATGATTCAATACTTGCAGAGGATAAATCATTTGTGCTCTTGTACCTTAAGTTTATGGAAATAGATCTGGCAATAAAAATAAATGGTAGCAATGACTTTTCAGAGAAACCAGAACTCTATGTACCTAATGAAGATTCATACGCAATTTATGGGTGTGGAGAAAGCATAATTGAATCAGTCAATGAGTTACAGTGACAATGTCATTAGTTTTGGAGAAGATCACAGTGGTACCTCACAAATACATAACACAAATTTATACTAAATAGTTTATCTATAGCTCTATTTATAGAGGGCAGATAACATTAATTTATGACACATAAATTTTTATAAATAATATTTCAACAAATATTTTATTTATGATGCATTTTGAACACTAAAATTTTGTTCAAATAAAGACAGTTCAGCAATAGTTTATCATTTATACTGTTGAGAGCTGGGGATTGAATACAGAAAACAGGAGAAAAAATCATTATGCATGATTTGGTTTTGTTGCCTTGCTTCTAATGGTCCTGTGAAAATGAATGCATTTGCACTATAATTTTCATAAAGAGACATAATGTCATCACAAAAGGTTTTAGTCTGGGGAAAGGTTTTTGTAATAAACTATTATTTATGTAGGTAAGAATAACATAAATTGAAACCAAGCAATAATGCACTGAATAATTTACTTTTTATTTTCTTATTACATTTTTCCATATATCCTATTTTATTTCACATGAGATCAGGGGATAGTAATAATAGCTAACTGTTAATGCAGCATGCCTCTTCCCTACTCCTATTGTTTCATTTCAAGTAAATGGAGCCCCACTGATATTGCAGATGATTTTTCTGATTGGAAATTGGGAAAAATAAGCTGAGGATTCTCGGTCCATGTTTACCATTTTTTCTCTCAGATGCTAGAGAACACGAGTGCTTTGCTGTTCTTTCACGCTAGACAGCTCTCTCCATTCCCCTCCCTTACTGGAAGGCCCACCCTTGTTCAGCATCACCTGTGTCTGGTAGGGTAAGTCCACCGAATTTGGGCTTTTTATTGCAGATTTATTTAGTATTCACACTAAATTAAATGCTTCAACATTGCCTTTATATGTGACTAAGGTGATACTTAACCTAATCCGCCATTCCTGAGTTTTATTTATCAGTTTTATAACCTCAAGTAGGAAAATGGGTTGCCTGCTTAGGTGTCTCTTTATCAATATTTATTGAGTATTTATTATCTCTTAACCATGTAGTAAATATTTGATATTTTTATTTAATCATAAAAACTCTACAAAGCAATTATTAGTATTATGATTAATATTAGCATTGTTTATGCTTACAAAATGACATGTAAAATCAGCTCAGCACAGTGTTTTGTGCATAGTATATGCTCAAAAAAAACTTATTGCATTTACCAATGGCTACAAAACACAAAATAGTTGATTCAGCAACTGTTCATACCTCCCATTTTATCCAACCCTCAAGAAACTCACAATCTTATATGTATTGCAGCTAATGGAGCTAAGACATTCTTATTTGTTCTAATAATCCCAACAAGTAGAAAAAGGCCTGCCTCACAGTAAGTATTTTATAAGCATGTGTTGAATTTGTATTTAATAGCAAAAAACATATCAGTTTGTCAGTAGAGACAAGATTTATCCTAGCACTAAATTCTGAGAGTAACTACATCAACGGATCCCTCTGTAATGGACATCAACTGGCCAAATATAGACTGCTTTTAACAGTGATATTCTAGATGATGCCAAATGAACTTTAAATGCCTTTTCAATACATAACTGGAATAAAAGCTGAAGACATGATATAAAATCTGAATTCAGTAAAGGCAGCTCTCCAGCTGCTATTTTCAGTATGCTGCTTTCTATTGATTTAATTTGATACAGGAATAGAGCTTAGAAAACTCACTGGAGTGAATGGTTGAAATGCCATTCATTCTTTAATTCATTCTACAACTATTCAGAGAACAAATTAGAAGAGTACAGAATTTATAATATAACATAGGAAAGATAGTCACATAAACAGGTAATTAGACTAATGTGATAAGGACCATCAGAGGGGATGGTCAGGGTGTGATAAACCACATTATCCCAGGCTTGGAATGTTGAGGAAACTTCTGGGAAGAAGTAACAAGTAACCTAAAAAATAGAGAATGAATAGGATTAACCCAAGAGGACAGGAGAGGGAAGACTTTGGCGCAGAGGAAACTGGATTTTACCCAAAGCTCAGAGTTAAGAAAGTCTATGGTATGTCTGAGGGACTAAAAGAAAGTTAAAATGTATGGAAATCAGTGGGCAAGGATAAAGGGGAACTTAAAAGAGAACAAGATCATAAAGAGCCACTGTGTGTTTTCGTTCATGGTTTCCTGGCTCATAATTCCCATAGCCCTTGTTACAGTCTTTTGTTATAATGTTGGGTGTGTTAGGCCTCAGGATATAGGATCTCTCTGACCTTCTCCTGCTTTCCTTTCACCTGTCCCAAGGCAGGACTCTAACCTTCCTCCCCACCTCTAAACCCCCTTTCTGAGAGTCATAAGACTCTTATTGCAGAGAGGGTCCTGCACTATCCCCTGGGAGAAGGAATGTTGATGTCATGAAGTTTCCATAAAAACCCAAGATGACTGGGTTAGGAGAGCTTTGGATAGCAAAACACAGGTGGTTCCTGGAGGGTGGCATACCCAGGAAGGATATGGAAGCTCCTTTCCTCATACCCTACCCTCTGCATTTCTTCATCTGTATACTTTATAACAAACTGCTAAACGTGCTTCTTTGTGTTCTGTGAGCTGCTTCAGCAAACTAATCGAATCTAAAGAGAGAGTTGTGGGAACCCTAACTTGAAGCCAGTTGGCCAGAAGTTCCAGAGGCCTGGACTTGAGACTGGGGTCTGAAGGGGGTGGGGAGGTAGTTTTGGGGACTGAGTGCCCAACCTGTAGGATCTGACACTGTCTCCAGGGAGATAGTGTTGGGATTGAATGGGAGGATACCCAGTTGGTGTCCACTGCAGAACTGATTGCTCACTTGGTGACAGGGAGAAACACTTCCCCACATTTGGTCACAGAAGCCTTCTGTGTTGATGATTGTTGTGATGCGAAAGCTAACAAAAAATGTTTGAGTTTTTCCAAGGAGTCACATTAAAGAGTTTCAACTTCATCCTAAAGATAATAGGGAGCCTTGAAAGGTTTTATGCCTGGAGTACCATAACACCTTTGCATTTTTGTATAATCACTTTAACTCGAGAATATCACTACTATTCATAGAAGTGAACCTACTGTCAAGACTAGAAGCAGGGAGACCAATTAAAAAACTGTTCCACTAATGCAAGAAATAGATGATGGTAGCTTGAACTTGGAAGATGACAGTAGGGACTGAAAGGGTTAGAATTCACTTGAGATTAATGTGACAGATTCAAAGTAACAAGACTTATTGAATATTTGCTTGGGAAACATGAGAGGGGGGAGATGCCAAGAATAACTCACAGGTTACCGAGATGGAACACATGGGTGGACGTTGGTAGAATCCACTACTAGAGGAAGCAAAGGAGGCATTGGTGTGGGGTGATATGATAGCTTTATTTTTGGACATGTCCATGGGATATTCAAAGGAAAATGTCTAGTAGTAGGAGTAGTAGAGGTTAGTAGGAATAAAAGATGCTTTTCACTTACACCCAACCTTTCTTTTGGTAAGAACTGGATAATAGCAATTTTAAACCAGAGTTCTGTCTAGTAGATCTAGGACAAGTTGTGCTGTTTATTGAAACAAGATTCATATGCATTTGACATAAGATAGTGCACATACTCAGGAGCTGAACTTCTGCTATGGCAATTACAGAGCTTGAAACGTGTTCTGTCTTAGACTAAAGTCAATAGTACATTGCTTTTCCCCAAAGAAACATTTGTATCTCAAGTGCTGGGAATAGTATAAGGTCAGAAATCTATGATTCTATGACAAAGAGAATGGAAGAAGAGGACAGCAATTGATCACTTTGGCATATTTTACCCTGCATAAAAAGGGGGAGTCATTTAAGTTACTGACATTCAATTTTAAAGATTTTAGTACTTAGCATTTCCCCATTCGGATTATTAAAAAAACAAAACAAAACAAAACTTCTTCCCCAGCATACCAAAGGAATGGCAAGTTTTGTTTAAAGACTAATTCATAAAATGTCAGTTCAGGGATTATTTCTAAAATAATAGGATGGGTTATCTGGCCCAGACACACTCCTAATTTTTTTAATGTATACATAAGCTGTGTGATTTTAATTTTAATATAAAAATTACACATATAAAATTAGTATGAAAAAGATATATTATTAAGTTTTAGACTTTGCTCAACTGATTTATGTAACATAATATTTATATAGTACTCATTGGTTAAACACCTGGTATCTAATGTTAGAAAATAACCATCAGCAATATGAGGTCACATTTTGACTTAAACATAATGATGCTTTGTCTAGTTCAGACTGACCTTTTAACTGTCTCATTTTGTGTTTCATGGTATCCAGATCAGCCAAAATTTTGTCCTTTTTAAGCCAGTTTTGTTTCTCTAATTTTTCTCCTTCCTGCAAAGCTAGAATAATAACAATACATGATATTTTATCAACAGTAATTTATCATGTACACCAATAATTTATAAAGAACTTTCTGCTTCAAGAAATAGATTCAATTAGAAACAAGTAATTAAAAGGTAAGGGTCATTAAAAGAAACCTCATTTGAAAGATGACAGGGCTTAAGGCATTTCTTTATGGAATGGAGAGGGGGAAAAAAGAAGAAGAACGATGCTGTTTTATTATATAGATTTACCATATGCAATAGCCATATTTCATTTTCTACTTCCACAAACTATTTGGAGGTGATGAAAGCCTGGCTTGGAACCATTCATTTTTTAAACATCCACCTACTGCCTAAAGGGTGCAATTCTTAAAAATGAAAATGTGCAGACAGGTCGTCCTCAGTGTGAATTAAACTCATTTGTTATTTTCTAATGCATACCATTATTCTCAGTCTTATAGACCAAGGATCTCTTTATCAACGAAATTAGACATTTTTCCATGCAGAATACTCCATTCCAGTAAGAAAAAAACAGGCAATTGTGTAAATATGGGAATATAGCTATCCTTGTGCACATATTAATCGATGGACCTCCTGTTCTATGCATAAATGGGATGTTATTATGTTGGCATTGTACACACTTAATTCATTTTCTTATGATGACATAAAATCTATTTTTCTCTCCCTTCATATACTTGTTTGAAAGAAAGCAAAAACAAAAAACGTACCATTTGGAGGTAGAAATGGTTCACCACAAGATACCCAGATGGCAATAGGATTTCTAAGGATGAGGGCAAGCACAGACTTATCAATACCATCCAAACTATCAGATGTCACAGACTTTGGAAATAATTTGTTTTTCACGTTCATTCTCAGGTTTTCTGGGGCAAAAAAAGACACATCTATTGTTGTTAAATGAAGAAAGAATAAATTTACTTTCTGAATTCATTTGTTTAATCGATATATTTCATTTTTCATTAATAATATGATTTAAAGAAGCACTACCAAAACCAGAGATCAATACACAAATTTGGTCAGAAACTTAATATGCAACCAAAGAATTTAAACTAATGTGATTGAAAATATGTTTTAATTCCTTTCTCACACATCACCTGGAACTGAAATAAATTTGACATGGCTTACCAATATATCTACTCTGAAATGGGAAAAAAAAAAGTTTTTAAAAAGCAAGCAAAGGGGAACAGGAGTATAGGAATAGACTAAAGCCAAGGATAAGCTGCCTCAGTGTCCTTATATTCTAAATGAATAATAATATCTATCTCATTCTGCTATTGGGAAGATTAAAAGGAAAAAAGTAATATGCTTCAAAGAAATAGTGTTCAGCCTATTTACTTTGGTAAGCATCCAATAAATGTTAGATATTATTTTTATTATTAAACAAAAATAAATCCTACTCTGTTTTTACTTGCTAGAGATAAAGCAAAATCAGGACCAGGAACTTCCTAGTAGCCAAAGCAAAGAGGAAAACAGAGTTTCCAGTTTCATCTGGCCCATAAAGATAAACTCCTCAGAAGATGCACTTTTCTTAATTTTGAAATCTCGGCGAAATTCATTTAAGGATCTCCATAAACAGGTTATTTGCAATATAACTAATAGTATCCTTCAATAGAAGGATAGAAATTAATATATATTGAGAACTCGCTATGTGCTGGGCATTTTATCAAGACCTTTACATACACTGTGTCACGTGATTCTCAAAAAGAAACTTTGAGGCAGGTCTTATTATTACAATTTCTTTTTTACAATAAAGTAATCGAGATTTAGTGATATAGCTGGGTGGTGGCAGAGCCAGGATTAGAGTCCAGGCCATCTGCCTCCAGAGCCTGTGCTCTTAACCACTGCCCACATAGTAAGCACTATGCTGAATTCTGACCAACAGCTGTTACTTTAAAGTTTCTCAATGCCAACTGAAGGCACAGCACCAAGCCACAATACCAAAAAGGGGGCAGCCCACTGATGGCCCTGCTTGACTTAAGGATAGCTAGAATATAAGGAGCAAGGGATGAAACCAAAAGGATACCTTCTGATAGTCCTGCACAAATAACATTACTTCCAATCAAATTTTTTAAATAAGAATTTGAGGCGGGGCGCGGTGGCTCACGCCTGTAATCCTAGCACTAGGATCACAGTGCTAGGCTGATGCCATGGCTAGGCTGATGCCATGGCACTCACTCTAGCCTGGGCAATAAAGCGAGACTCTGTCTTACACACACACACATAAAAGAATTTGAAAGAAGAGTGTTTGAAATTATAATCTTATAGGAACCCTGAGTTCAGATATTCTATATGCCAAATAAAGATAGAACTATATGCTTTAGTGATCAGATAGGCATTAAATGTTCACATAATTATTTCTTAAAACCCATTAGAAAACAAAAAAGATAATATCTTGTACATAATGATGAGTAATATTTATTGAATGTTTGATAAATATCAACCAGGCAGTAAGTAAGATATATACACACACACACACACACACATACACATGTACATATTTTTATGAATATATATTCATATTTATGAGGACCAAATGAATACAGATATTGAATATATATATTCAAGTGAATATATCTATATAAATATAGATATATAGGTACATTTGCTACGGTTTGAATGTGTCCCCTCCAAAATTCAAGTGTTAAAACTTAATGCCCAACATGATGATATTAAGAGACATAGGGTCTTTAAGAGGTGATTAGGTCATGGGGGCTCCTCTCCTTGTGAATGGGATCAAAATTCTTATAAAAGAGGCTTCATACAGTGTTGGGCTCCCTTGCCCTTCTGCCTTCCACTATGTGAGAACACAGGATCCTTCCCTTTGGAGTATGTAGCCCTCACTGGACAACCAAACCTACCAGCACCATGATCTTGGATTTCCTAGCCTCCAGAACTGTGAGAAGTAAATTTCTCTTCTTTAAAAATTACCCAGTCTGTTGTATTCTGTCATAGCAGCACAGAACGGACTAAGACAATATTCACTATGAATGTGTGTGTGTATGCATATATTCGTTTGGTCCTCATAAAAACTCAATGAAGGAAGTGAAAGTTGAAGTGTATAGTGGTTAAACAACCTGCCCAAAGTCACTCAGCTAGCAAGTGCAAAGCTGGGATTTGAGCCTTGGTATTCTGGTTCCAAAACCCAAGCTCTAAACTATTTCTCTCAATACAACAACAAGGGAAAATCTCACACTGACAAAACTCTACTGAATCACTACTAGCGAGACTTGCTTTCATTTAGCAAATTGATATTTGGTACACAGTCCCTACCCTCAAGCTGTAGTCTAATGAGATATACAAAGATATAAACAAATAATTATAAAGCAATGTGCTAAAAGCTGCAATAGAGGGCCATTGCCTAGAGCTTCTGGGATTTTATAGAAAGAGTGGAGATGAGCAGGGCAGAGACAGGGAGTTGGAGAAGGGGAAAGGTATAGAGAGGACACCTCTGCTAATAAGTGGAAGAGATTTGCATTGATCAGTTTCTTAAGTGGTCTCCAGTTGGTTTTGGTTCTGAGTTTAAGGACAAAAGATGTTCATGTTCTATTAAGTAGCTGAACTGTCAGATATATTTTGTTAATTCTGTGCAATTTATTTATTGTTTCAATGCTGAAATCAAAATTTACATTAATTTTTAAATTTTTTCTTATTATTCTATAAGGTAAAAGCAACATGAGAATCTAATTGATATTCTTGGAATCACTTACAAAAGTAGCTTCCTATGATTTTGAAATTCTAGAATTGACTAAATGAAAGAATCACATTCAACTTTTTCATGATCAAACATAAATAGAACCAGCTAAATCCTATAGAATGTAGCCAACTTTCCATACTTTTAATAGTTAACTCTTCTGTTCCAACAGGAGTGGGGTCTTTCTTTTGTTCCTCAGAGTCTCTCTGGATAAAGGATTCATCTAGAGCCCATAAAACCAAATCACGCAAGGTGAAGACTGTAGTTCCATCTTTGGTATATACTTTTGAGGCTGCTTGGGCAAGTCCAAGTCGTTCTGTGCATTCTGTAAGAAGCTAGATAACACAGGCTGTAAGGAACTGACAGGAAATAGTAATAGAATTGAAAATAATCATGAAGTGCTTGTCATTTTAGAAATCTCAGAAAATCCTTTAGTTTGAGAAAATAGAAAGCTGAATAACTACTGATCTTGATCTTTGGAGAAAAGATTTCTGATATTATTATAGATTGTGCTACCTAATCTCGCAACATTAGTCCAACCCAGCAGTAAAAATTCCTAGCTCTAAAAACTTAACACAGCAGTTGATGTATGTTAATACATTTTATCAACAGAGTATTTTCTAAGAAATGTTCAACCTAGAAATTTACTTTTACTTTCATTGCTTTATAAGGTATAAAATTGTTATAATACTTCATATTGATGAACTGCTTTAAAATAAACAAATAATTAACTTTCAAAGCAAGAACTGATGTGCATTATTACCTCTATTTTACAGATGGAAAAACAGGCTGAAAGTTTAATATTTTTGCCCAAGACCATAAAAACCAGCTGTGGACCCCTGGGCAAATCTTGAAGTCAGTAACTTCTGTACTTTGCTTAGTCCATTGAACAATTAAATCTTAATAAAAAAAATCCATTTGTTTTCAACCAAAGAGGTGAATGAACAAATGTGTGTGTTTACAAGAAAGTATGCAGGGTAACTCCATATTATATTTAACACCACTTGTAAAAATACATTGCTAAAGGTATTGGCCAGAATGTAAAGACAAGATAATCACAAGCAATGGAAGGACAAAGCTGGGTTTGGGCTTTCTGGGTTCCTCTTTCTTCCTACAATGGTGGAGAGCAGCCTACAAGAAAGACCACATAGTTCCTCCTAACACAACCCTGCTTCTCCAACTCAAAAATAAAATGAAATACCCTATCAACAAATAAGTGCTCAGATGCTCCAGATGATAAATGAGGTGGCATCTCTTAGACTACTCAGATGACATACAGTTTGAAGCTGGCATGGGAAGCAAAGCAGAAAAAAAACATGCTCTCATGAGAATAAAGAAAATCTGGTAGCTTTGTTCCCCTTGCCCCGCCCCCTATCTTGCATATCTTGACTCTGGATCTAATCTAAAAACCATACCCTGATTTCTCATTTTTCTAAGTCTGTAGGCACAGAAATACAATAAAAAAGAATGTCTTTAAGTAAACAGAGATCTTGATCTCATCAGCTTAAATTGGTGAGTCTAGCTAGGGACATTTATCACTCAATCCCACTGCTTTTTCTTGTCAGAAGAACTGCCATTATCATTACCTCCGAGGATGCAAGCGGCATTTAAGTGATAACCACTTACCATGGGGAATGTTCCAGCCACAATTAACTTCCCATTACGATATCCATCCCCATTTTTGTATGCAATTATTTTCACTGCCTTCTGGTACGTAGCTGCCATACCACTGTGAGATACAGCTTGCGTGCAGGTCTCCATCCGTAAAGATAATAGACGTTCTTCATAATAACTTAGAGTTTTTTCAGCCTTGTATGATGATAAATCAGCCTGATTCATTTTTATAAAAAAAATTGTACATTTACTCAAACTTGTTTCTTTTAGTTTTGTTCTTTTGGTATACTTCAGTCCCTTCATTTAACAAGTGTGTGTGTACGTGTGTGTGGCCTCTAATTTTGCAATACTTACTTCTTATGCTATAGATAGTTGATGCTAAAGTGGGAAGGACATTAGATCACAATTCCTCAGTTCTCTTTCCAGGCCTGTCACTGAGCCACTAGGTGACTTTGGGCATCTGGCTTGCGCACCTACCATTTTCTTGGTTGTTTTTGTTTGTTTTGTGTTGTTGTTGTTGTTGTTATTTTAATGCTTTGCTTTCCTCTGCTACAGGAAAAAGGGAAGAAGGATTCCAGAGCTACTAACATTACATGTAGTCTCTGAATTTTTAACTTTAGGATGAGGCCATCCCATGGTGAAGATGTTGGAGGAGGAGGGGAACGAGTATAGCCTTAACCACATGGTAATGAGGGTGATGAACACCACTCTTCAGCTTTCCCTTTGCATCCCTACCTAGGATGCTGCCCCAAGGGCAGAAATCTGTCTGAAGCTATGACATTGGGGATTCTTTCCAATTAGCTCCCCTCCACCTCCCTAACACTATCTCACTATCTCTAAAACAAAGCAAAATGCCTCCAGGCTTCCAGGAGGACTGATTTCCTTTCTCCTTAAGAGTTATTGTTTCAGTTGATGTTTAATGTAACCTGTTACTACCCACCCCATCCCCCAAGTGTATCAGGATTAGAGGTGAGAGAGCCCTGAAGAGCACACCAAGGTTGGAAGGTTCTTCACCTTTTAGGAATTGCTCCTTTTTAAAAATTCAAGTATGTAAGTTCACTTAGCTTTTTTCACTTCTAAACTTGAAGGGAAGGATTCTTTAAATGGCGCCATTTTAAATTAGAGTCATGGGAAAATGACAGATTTTTTTTTTCTTCCATGAACTCTAAATAATATTAGACATGGATGTGTAAATTCAGGCACCCAACCTGAATGAACAGTCATTAACAACGACATGTCAAATTTCTCCTGAAATGTTCCATACTAGTAAAAAAGGAGTTTATCCTATGGATATAGGCAAAAAAGCTGCTACGTTAAGTAAAGATTTGCTAAGAAAAGAATCACCTAAAAGCAACACTGAGAACAGTGAAAAGTGTCAGTAGATGATTAAAGCTGCAGAAGTGCCCAATTAACTTCAAAGGGTATATCGAACTATTAATAGACAATGTATTTTAAATTACAATGGGGAAAAGGAAATCAATGCAGGTAGAATGGTAAAGGTACATCTGAGGAAGATGAATTGGATGAACTTGAGTGCAAGGCAGATAATGAATGCATCAAAGTTTCCAAATTGTTGCCACACGTGCATTAGCAGACCTCAAATCATTACACACCTCAGCCACATTGATGACCTTGAACGGCCCTCGTGAGAAGGGCTTCTGAGTCTTGGAGCCTGAAACACAAAAGAATGGAACCCCTGGAAGCAACTCTTTTAGTCCCTTCTCTGCTCTCATGGATTGTCCACAAGCCAAGCAGAGCATCATTTTTCTCTTTCCATCACGTGAGAAATAATAGTAACCCTGAAATGGGAGACAAACATGCTTTTATACAGGTGCATTCATATTATGACAGCATTTCTATAAAACGCTTTACAATATAATATAAATAAACCATTTTATTCATCCCCAAATGCTAATTTGAAATTTCAACATAAAGACATTATTCTGCTCCCTATTACTTACATTTTAAAGTATTTCCAAACTTGATAATGACAACTCAACACCAATGATCATAACTTATGTCCAAAATCAGGGTTTCTTGGAGGAATAGCCAGTTCCAGATTTGGGGCAAGAAATACATTAATATAATACAAGAAAGGAACATTTTTTGTGTGTGTCTGTGTCCAGAAAGAAAAGAAGCCATCCAAGAGTAAAGTAATCATGTTGAAAAAGACACAGGAGCCAACGTGAAGGAGCCTCCACTCGCCTAAAGTGGGACAATTTGGGAGCACCAAAAAGAATAATTGAAACACTTTGAATATGAATAAATATAAAAAATCCTATGAGTTTATAATGATGCTAACAATATAAGTAAAAAAAAAAAATAACCCAAACAAATAGAAACAAAACTACAACTCATTGAAGACCACTGGAAGTAAACTGACACCAACTATAACTTCCAAAACTGCCCATTAGAAAGTGTGGCAGATTATTCGTAAAAGTGACCACAATAAAACTGTCCCATCCTTGTTTGCATGCCCTTTGGAATGTGGCTTTGATACTCCTCCAATCAAGAAGTAGTTTCTTTCTCCTTTTTCTTCTTTCCTTAAATCTGGGCAAGGACGCGTGAATTGCTTTGGCCAACATAACACTAGCAAATGCATAAGAAGTGCTTACACAATGGAGCTTGTTTGCTTTTGACTAAAAATAGAACCTTGGGACTACAACATGACCAAACTTGAGCTAGCTTGCTAGAGAAGCCATGTGGTTGAAGAACCCACCAACCACTGGACAAATGAGGGTGGCTATCTTTGACCATCTAGTCCCCAGAGAGCCACCAAAACCACTGAAGAACCACCAGATGACTACAGCCACATTAGTAAACTGCAGCAAGAGCAGCAGAACTGTCCAGCTGAGCCCAGCCCAAATTGCTGTCCCACAAAACAAAAAAGGGTTTGCTAGTTTAAGCTACTACATTTTCAGGTGGTATGTGACACTAGAAAGAAATTAGAAAAAATTGAGCATTTAAACTACCTTCACTTGCAAACCATATTTTTGGGTAGTCAAATATCAAGCTGATGAGGTAAAGTTCTTCCTTTTATTAAAAGTTCAGTTAATAAATACAGGGAAAATTATAGAATTATACAAAGTTGACCCTTTTAAAATAAAATGGTGACATTAGATGAAAAGTCATTGGATATTTTTAATATAGGATCAGGTTATAATCACCTAAACCGATTGATAACTATTATTACTAAAAATGGAAAACGCAGACATTGCCAGCATAAGTGATAAGTAAGAAACATACAGGAAAACCTATGAAGATTCTGGCCAAAAAATGTTAAACATAAATCTAACTACAACTCTAATGCTCAATTTCGTTTATAGGAATTATGAGAGATGAAGAAACAAGTCAAAAGATGCCACAAGGAAACAAAAAAATGCAAATAGGGGATATTCTATATCACAATGGACCAAGATTATGCAACCCAATGTCACTTTGGGACTTAATTTGAATCTTGACTCAAATCAACAAACCATAACAAGAATTTTTAGGACAACCTGAGAAATTTGATTAAGGATAGAGTATTAGATGGCCAAAGAATTATCATTAATTTTGTTAGTTGTGAGAGTGGGATGATAATTAAGTCAAAAAATGTCCAAAATTTTTGGAAGTATGCACTTAATGTAGAGGTGCAATTATAGCACTTCTAGAGTTGGCAAATGTGGTAAAACCTTGCTAATAGTTCAATTCAGATGATGGGTAAAGAAAGACTTATTGTACTAGTCTCTCCACTTTGAAATATGTATGAAAATTTCCAGAATAAAAATTTAAAGAACTTTTAGATAGGCTGTCTAATTTGTTTTTTCTGGATAATTTTTCTTCATTCTTTCCTAACCAGAATCACAGAGGCCAAGTGATGTCATTCAAATATCAGTGTTCAACTTACAAACATAAGATTTTCTAGGAACAAAAAGTTTCTTGCTTTATTAAGCAACCCTATTTTAGCCTATTTTCCTTTTATCTTCAAGAGGAAGGAACCACTTACTGGTTGGTCAATGTTTTTTTCTTTAATCACAGATGATGTACAAACACCAGCGTAATTTGCTGATGTAATTTCCTTATTCAGGGAAGTGCTCTGAAAGGCTATAAATGCTTTCATATTTTCCACATAATTCCACTTTTGATTGGCAGTCCCATTGCTGTTTGGGTTATATTTCTGTAAAAAGCAGTAAAATATGAAGTCAAATAGGAAAGTTCATGAAATAATTATGGTAGTCATATTTTTCATTGGATAAATCTAGAAAGTGCAGATAATTACTCATAATGTCATTATGCAGTGATAACTACTGTTTGGTATTTTGGTGATTATATACATAATAGTTTTATATTTATAATATGCATTCATTGATTTACAAAAATGGAATCACACAATATACACAATTTCATATTGCATTTTTAAACAATATTCCATGAACCTTTTCCTAACATCTTTTAAACACATATATATATTTCATTTTAGGAATATTTTATTTTGTTAATCTCCAATAGTTAAATATATAGATTGTTTCTCAAAATTTCTCTATAATAAACAAAACAGCAATGAATAATAGTAAAAATAAATCTTTGGGTTAAACTCATGATAATTTCTTTAGGACAAATTCCTAGGAGTACAGTTGTTGATAAAATAAAATCATTTTAAAAGATTATGATAGATTAAAATGCTTCCCTTCCTTTATTAAAATTTTTTCTTTTTGGATACAGGGTCTCACTCTGTTACCTAAGAGGCAACACTCCAACTCCTGGGTTCAAGTGATCCTCCTCCTGCCTCAGCCTCCCAAGTAGCTGGGACTACAGGCATGTGCCACCACACTTGGCTAATTTTTAAGTGTTTTGTAGAGATAGAGTTTTGTTATGTTGCCCTGGCTGGTCTTGACTCCTGGTCTCAAGCAATCCTCCCATCTTGACTACTTTATCAAGCAAGAGCTTAATAGCAAAGAAGAAAATAAATGAGTCTCAAGAATTGATTTAATGGGTCAGACAGCAAAGCCTCCCTCAGAGGTCTGGAAAACCAAAGACTATATTTTCAAGGAACAAGAAAGGGTCTAATAGCATTAACCTACCATGCTTCATTTTTATTATTTTACATGAACTTTAATATTTTCTCACAAACTGATTGCTTCAATAAATAAAAATGAAACATCAGCAAAGAAAAAATCTTGAAAGGTAATCCAAATTACCGTGGGATCAAATTTATTTCTTATAAAACAGGAACCTTAGGGGAAAACATCTATATCTATAATTTTATGAAACTAATTAAGGTATTAAATTTGTCTATGTTTGAGGTTTTATCTCATTGTGGTCTGTGTTGAAGAGGCACCTGACAGAGAAGGGCATAGTTTTATATACATCGTATCTCCTAGAATAAATTTTTAGTCCATATTTATCATCAGGATAGAAGACTTCATTAAGCTTTGGTATTCATCCAGATTGCTATGTTCCAATTTTGGATTCAGGGCCTGCAAAACAAGTTGCCTCATTGCTATTAAAAACACAGAATAAAGCAAATGTTATTTGGAGATGATATATTTTGTTTAACAAAAGGCTGAAATATACTGTGGAGGATACAGAAAGTAAATGCAGAACAGGAATACTCCTAAACTTTCTCTCCTACTAGCAAGGAAAAATATGTATCCGTTTAGGAGTGTTTTGAGTTATAAGTGAGAGTGACAGAAAAACGTGAGAAAAGAACTTTCTAGTCTTTGTCCAAAACTCAAATGAAGCCAGACTTCTCTGGAGTCTTCAAAAACTGGTTGGCTGCTATAAGCATTTGCAAAAATGTATTAAAATAGTATTTCAAATGGGTTGCTTAGTAGACTGAACACTGATAAGCTCATATCCTCCAGAAAGACCTCCCTCACTAAGTTCTCCCTCCAGTTATCAGGTAAAGAGGGCCTGACATATGTTCCCAGTGATTGAATTTAGGTGAATCTAAGAGTCATTCACATGACTGCACCCACCACTGAGACTAAATGCTCCGTGAATGCCGTTGGGACAATTTCTCATGCTTGCCATTGAATTTGATTTCAGTAACTAGCATAATGCCTGACATGTAGCAAGCCCACAATCACCATCTGTTGGATTAAACTAAATTAAGAAGTACATGAACATGTTCAAGTTGAAATCTAGGCAGACTATTGTAAATATTTTAACAATTACATTCAAAATAGGATTGTATGACAGCTACCTTTTCCTCCACAGCAAGGAAGCTTGAAGCTTTACTTACATTTATAATAATGAAAGGGCCATGATTAATCTTTAGCTTATACATATCTTACCTGAACAATAACTGGATAGCCACAGACATCATTTCTAGCCTTGGTCATAGACACAGCCAGCACAAGGTCCAGGTTACTCACCAGGTGAAAGGTCCTTGGGAAAACAGGATTAGTCACATTACAATGTAGCATGGCCAGATTAGACCTCCCTCTGTGCCACTTGTTAATGTGTTGTCTCTCAGGTCCACACATGCTCTGTGACAATGGACACGAATCCTTTAAGAATTCCTACCCTACTGTAAGTGTGATGTTAAGCTTTCTCAGTAGAGAATGCTGGAAGATGACAGGAAGAAGGAGCTCTCCTGCTCTTTCTGGCTGTGGCATGGGGTCAGCTGTCGGGAGTGAGACTATTCAGTGATGCTGTGCTCCAAGCAGGTGTGCCCAGAACGCAGGTCTCTGAGCACCCTCACAGCCCTGACCTGCCTGGTGGTCATCTGCTCACTGCCTGCTTCACACGGACACCCCATCCTTCCCCCCACCCTGCTGTACCAGCACTCCTACTCCCTTTGCATGCTGGTGTACCCAGCAACCAGTTGCACCCCACATACATTCCAGAGGACTGCTTCCTGCTTGCCCAGTGCTATGGTTTGAATGACCCCTCCAAAATTCATGTTGAAACTTAATCCCCAATGTGGCAGTATTGAGAGGTGGGGCCTTTAAAAGGTGATTGGATCATGAGGGCTTTGCCCTCATGAATGGATTAATCCACTCATGGACTAAATGGCTAATGGATTAATGGGTTAAAATAGGAGTGGAACTGGTGGCTTTATACTAAGAGGAAGAAAGACTTGAGAATAGCATGTTATCAAGCTCAGCCCCCTCACCTCGTGATACCCCACACTGCCTCAGAACTCTGTAGAGTTCTCACCAGCAGTAAGTCTCTCACTAAATGTGCCCCCTCACTCTTTGGACTTCTCAGCCACCAGAACTATAAGAAATAAATTCCATTTCTTATAAATTATCCAGTTTCAAGTATTCTGTTATAAGCAAGAGAAAATGGACTACGGTACCCAGCAGCCACAGACCAGCTGTGGCCAGGCACACCAGCAAAATTTCCCTGACATCCAATGGGATGGAACCACACCTATGCCAATGAAGCCTGAACCCCAGCCTGGCGGGGGGGGGGGGGGACCCAATTCCAAGTTTTTCCTTTCATGGGTACTCTCCCTCAGCCCAAGGGTAATATATGTAATATATAATAGTTATATATATACTATATTATACATATAATATATGTATGTATATATACCCTAACTTGCCACCTGGGTAAAATGTGGAGGACAAAAAGACTGGTTAATAGGAGGCTGAGGCAGGAGGATCACTGGAGCCCAGGAGTTTGAGGTTGCTGTGAGCTAGGCTGACACTATGGCACTCTAGCCCAGGCAAGAGAGTGAGACTCTGTCTCAAAAATAAATAAATAAATAAACTGGTTAACACCAATAGAATTTTCTATAAGTTTCTACTACATAGTGTAGCCCATGGTTCTCCAGGTCCCACTAAAACAAATGCAATTTAGTATCTACTTATGTGAAAAAGAACAAAGTAATATGCCAAGGGAGGATGTGGAAGAAAGCTCAGAATTACTGTCACTATGCAAACACACTTCTACCATGGGACATGTATTTTGCTCTGAATTGTGTCCACATCTAATCCAAGACTTCTGCAAAATCTCCCCTGCCCAAGGGTGTCTGGGTTTTCCTAGAGGGTGGCTCATGCTCACAAACAAATCCTGTCCTGCCAGGCCCCCACTACTCCACCTTCTCTCCGTGGACTCTGAAATTTCTGATGGGGGATCAATCAATACCACCATCTCCTTCTCACCAACTGCCCCTCTATTATGTGGCTTGACGTGGTGACAAAGTTGCAGAATGTTCTGGAAAGTGGGAGGAGATTGAAAGAAACTGTCCTTCTCTTTTGTGTTACACATGGTTTAATTATCCAAGGCAGTGATGCTCTTGGCACCACATCTCACAGTGTTTTAGGAAAACTGTGTTTTCTTAAGCAGCCTTCCCTTCCTCCTGCTTTCTCCACAGCACTCAGAATGAAGGACAAAACCACTGACAGGCACTGAGCAGGACTCAGGACTAGCACTCTCTTCCAATGACCAAGTCTTCTCGGATCACATCTCTCACTTCCCATGCATGTTCACCTGAATTCATTAGCCATGCTCAAATTCCAATTTAGGCTTAAGTGGAAACACAGAAAGCCAATGCAGAAAGATATATTGCTAAATATAATGCAGAGATGGGGTAGCACTAGGATGTCAGCTCCATAAGAGCAAGGACTTTTATCTGTTTTGTTCTTAGCTAAAGCACCACCCCTAAAACACTGCCCTCAATAACTTCTTGCAGCTGAAAGAATGAATTCTGGCCCATATGGCAAACCATTCACAGGAACAAAAGCCTGCCATCCTAGCTCCACTTTGTAAAGGCAGCTTAGCCTGGGTGAATGGGGCAAAGGAACACTATCACCTGGTTTGTCCACTCAGTCGTCAGTTTTCCCGGCTTCCCTAAAACCAGCTCAGCGAGTGTTCCCTGCTGGTGGCTTTGCTCATCTCAGTGAGCAGGGTAAGACTAACTCCTCTCCTGCCCACGCTGGGCACGCTGCTGCCGCCTGCTGAAGCTTATGCAATCTCTCACAAAGCACTGATTCATAAGCCTTTTGCATTGCAGACCTTTTAAGAATCCAGTGAAAAATCACAGCTCTTTCAGAGAAAAAACAAATTTTTGCACAGATGCACAAACATACATTTTGTACACAGTTTCAAGAGATTTAAGAGCTCCTTGGAGCCTCACCATATAATACTAATGGTAGAATTTGAAGCAAACCAGTCTGCAAAACAGGAAATTATTTTCTTTCTTGTTAAAGAAATGTTCAAACACGCACAGAAACAGAGAAGTGTATAATAACCCATCATGGATCTAACAACTGTCAGCATTCTGACATTCTTCTTACATCCATTCCGTTCAACTTTTTAAATTTTTGATTTTTGGTAGAATATTTTAAAGCATATCTAAGAGATCTCTTAATTTTATTTGTAACTACTGCAATATGTATATAACTTATCAAGACTTTTTTCTTTTTAAACATAACCGTTAAACCATTATTATACCCAACAAAATTAATAAGACTTCCTCAATATCATCAGATGGCCAAGTGTTTTAGATTTCCCCTGATTGTTTCAAAAATAACCTTTTGACAGTACTATAGTTGGTTTGAAATTAAGGCCATTGAATTAGGTTGATAATCTGTAAGAATTAGTTTTTACTGTGTGAGGGAAGCCACCAGCTGGTTATTTTATGAAGACAGAGGAGGGAGGGAAGGCATGTGTTTTGGGAAGGGTGGGGATCAAGTTAATGAAAAGTACTGAAACATTTTTAAAATCAGGAACTTTTAAAAATTCTTATTTGATAACTTCATATCATAAAAGTAAAATTAATTACAGTCCAGTCTTGAGCCTGATGGCAAGATAAAACTATGGAGTGAACATTTCTTAATTGAATCTAATTGCAAATAAACTGTATGTAGCTTACTTAGCATTTGCACTTGATTTTATTCTCTTTCTCTTTTAGGCCAGGATAAAAGGATTATCAGCTAAGTTAAATAGAAAACCCATTATAGCCCTCAAATATAGCCCTGCTTGTTCTACAGGGACCATGCCAGACTTCTTAGGCTCCTATTCACCTTTTGACATATTAACCTCAAATATAATGGGATTACCTGCTGTCTTTCTTGTATATCCAGTGTTGATGACTACCAACAGATTTCTTCTCCACCAAAACCACCTCCATGCCTGACCGGAGGTTGAGACTTTGCACCCCCAAGACTAGCTGAGGAGCAGCACAGCTTACAATTTGCTCATCTGTGTATTCAAACTGCTGAAGGCAAAGCTTCTGCAATTTACCACGCTCTGGCAAATAGCTAAGATAAAGAAATATCCATTAGCGGCAAAAAAACATCCTGTGCACTTGATGTACTAGAGATTGTCAGTTCTGTTGGTTGAGCTCCATTGCAAACCATGTTAACTTGCAATAGTAAACCATAATTATCAGAACGACAGAAATGCTATTAGTCTTATAATTCTAAGCTGATATAAAAAGTAGAATACTGAGTTTATTTATGACAGAAATAAATGTTTATCCAGGAGAACATTTGATACATTCATTAGCAAAGAGAAAAGTTCAGTTGAAGAAGTAATTTAGTTCCAGAGGAAAAAGTGAAATCCAAAAAAGAAGTAAGAAAAAAGAGGTGGTATTTAGAATCAAAACAGAGAAATAAAAGGATTCTGTTCAAACTATGATTGTTATCCTCTATCTACAGTATCCTGGGAAATAGAATACCATGCTCCAAGTTTTTCACTCTTTTCTAAAAATTCATAGAATATCATAAAAGAAAATAATGATCCACTAAGAAGTTAATTTAAAGGACTCTCTTACTTGAGGATCGTATTATGTAGACTTATTAAAAATATTAAATATCACAATGAATTGGTAATTAAATTAATTTATAAACATCTATTAAGCCCCTACTCCCCTACAATGTGTCTGGTCTAATGCTAAATGTTAAAGTGCCAAAACCATCTAATTCACATATTCCAGTAACTGCTATAGTGTTAAATAAATGTCTAAAGATTATGTAATAATACAAAGTACTATAAATTCCTGGACATTGGCCAAATTTTGGACATTGACCAAAAAGATTAAATTAAAAAGGAAGAAATTACATTTTGCTAATTTCTTAAAGACATCAGGCATCACATCCTACATGTTTATTCATTAATTCACTCACATATTAATTCAACAAATATATAGGTTCTGTGCTAAGGTCTTAGGAGGCAAAAGTAGATGAGCATGCTGTTTAGTATAAACGACACACCAATGAGCAAGAAACTATATTACACTGCATAAAATAAACCAAAAGGGAAAGAACCTGCCCACAAAGTTTTGCAAATACTTTATAATCAAAAACATAGGATAAAAATGTGCATGTTGATAGAAACAGTAGCTAACAGCAGCAAAAAAGCCCAGGAATATGTTTTTTCCCAAGCTGAGAGAATCTAAGGCTAGGCAGAACTCTCTAACAGTAATTTTTTGCAACTTTTTACCTGTGTTTCTTCTGTGGTTCCACATTTTCAAAGAGCTCTTTTTCCATTTCCTTTGGAAGACTGTCATCCCCATCAAAGTCATCCAAAATTTCCTGCCAGGCATACCTGAGAAGTGTGTGACAAGCCTTCATTCGGCGATGGGCCCTTGTATGTGAGTCTCTATCAAGGATCAGAAGCAAACCCAAGTCTAAGAATTCTGATTTGTGTTCACAGGATTTTTTCTGAGGTGTAGTCTGATCACATCCTGAAGGATATTGGTAGATCTATAAATCATATTCCCCTAAGGGTGCCTAATGTTCAAAGTCCACATCTTACTAATGAATCATTTATTCTTTTAATATGAGGCTATAAATAAAATTCTTCAATCACATAATAAACAGCATTGATCTTTGTTATATTTACTTAGAAAAAATGGGAGTATGTATTATATTTCAAACATTATAAAGAGTAAGACTATCCAGTAGTTTAAGAAATTCGTAATGAACATGTAATGAGACTTCTTCTGCCTACCCCATAAATGGGTCATAATTCTGTCTGCAACAGTATAGCCTAGATTGCTGGGTTTCATAAAGTTTACTCATTAGATAATGTTAAGAAATCTTAATTAACTTAACGTTTCCTCTCAATAGAAATCTAGAGAGAGACTTAAATAGCATCTGCACATATGTGCGAGCTTTTGATAGAGAATCATACACTAAAACACTTAAATTCGTCATAATTTGAATAATTGAGCCAGCCTCTGACTTCTTATTTTAGACGGAGATGTGAATGGGAACAGTAACCTCCTTACAGAACTGTATATATAAAGTTCCAGGTCATTGTTTGGAGCACATTTTCCTTTAGTGGAGTCATGACATAATATGAGGACTGCTTGGCTGAGGGCAGGATAAATATTCAGGCAAAGCAAGAAGCATATTTCAACTCTAAATATGCATACATGTAAATAAAGTTCTCTGGGGAAGACTGTAATCGCCAAGGTGCTTATGATAATTTGATATAACTGCAAACATTATCAAGTTACTAACATCTTCAGGGACAGTTCCTGTGCTAGTAGAGCTGATTGTACACTTTTAAAATGTGATGGAAGTATTACATGTGGATATGAAACTGGTGGGGTAATGACTGCCCCATTCAGAACTGCACGCAGCACAAGTGGCTTCTCAAGTCAAAAAAATCTCCCTAACAGTTAAAAAACAACAGTGCCATCTTGTGTTCTAAATAAAAAAACACAGCTGTCTCACCAACTCCATTTCTTTGAACAAAAAAGTCATTCTTAGTTTTCACAAAGTTAGCAAAGCACAAAAAAGAATCTTCACCCAAAACCAGATGTTTAATTTTCTTACTTGGAAATTATCTATCAGCTATTGAGCTTCCTGGCAAATAAAGTATAGTCAAATCAATTTTAGAACATTTTAAAATCTATCTTACTTTATTAATTTATTCATTTGTTCATTCATTCATAGAATGAATCATTCATTAGTTTGTTATTCATTCTTTTAGCCAATATTAATTGAACTATTACTACACCATAGGCATAGAGTTCTAAGCATTGGGAATATAGCAATGAATAAAACAGGTAAGTTCTTAGAGATCATGGAGTTTGCATTCTAGTGGGAAGAAGAGAGATAATAAGCAAGCAAATGAATAAATAAATAAGATAAATGCCATAAGTGGAATAAAACAGGATATTATAATGGAAATTTGCCAGGGTGATGTGAGGTCTACTTTAGCAATGAATCAGAGAAGGTTCTTCTGAGAGGTGATGTTTGAATTGAGATCTGGACAATGGGAAGGAGACAGCCATGTGAGGATCTAGAGGGAGAGCATTGCAGGTAGAGAAAAGAACAAATGGAAAGGGTCTGAAGCAAAAATATATTTTCCCCATTTGAGGAACAGAAAAACACTGGTTTGACAGGTATGCAGTGAATGAGTGGAAAGGCTAGACAAGGCTCAAGAGGTAGGCAGGGTACCTGTAATTTGGAGAGAAAATGAGAAAGTTTCCTTGAAGCTTTATGCTCTACAAGTCTTCTTTTCCATAAAGCATAAAAACAGGAGGCTAGTGTTCCCAGAGTTTATTTTTCATTTTGCTTCTTATTGTTTTTACTGGAAATCTTTACAATCAAAAAGTAATCACAAAGATTCCTTCTAGATTTATGTTCTAGCCTCTTGTTTCATGGATGTCCCTCCTTAAATCATCCTAATTCTCAAATATGCAAAAATCTCCAAAAAAAAGCATTTTTAAGAAAGTCTGGGAAATCTTAGTGACTTTTTAATGTAAGATGATTTAGTACCATGTCATCAGAAATAGTTTTAAAAACTAGTGTAAGTTGGACTGGAAATGAGATAACCCAGTGTACTAATAAATATTTCCAACATTTTAAGGACTGTCAAGTAGAAGAGGAATAGGGCATAGTACAGAGAAACAGATGAAATCATGGGATGGAGATATCCTAAATAATTAATTATTTAAACATCAGAAGGGCTGCCTTGTGAAATACTGATCTATTACCAGGAGTATTCAAGAAGAGGCTGAAACAAAAGAATCTAACTTAGAATGTGCATGAGACGTCTGTATTGTGTTCTGAGTGGACACGATTACTTTTCCTCAAAGACTCCAGGCTTTGATGAAATCTATGAATCGGAACAATGAGGATCTTTGCTCTCAAAGATGTTTCTTTCTTTTTTCTTACTTTCCATTTATTTACTTTTTTTCCAAGTGCAGACTAAGTAATTCAGAGGCTAGAGAACACATTCTTTAGAAGGGAACATTAGAACAATTTCTGTTCAATTCCCAAACTGCTGAGAAAGATGTCATTTAGGAAAATTCATTCTCTCTGAAAAAAATGCCTTTGTTAGTGTCAGGTCATACATAGGACCAGGTGAATCACCCAGCAAATGAGGAAATTTGGTTCTGAAAATATAAGTTCATATTCATATAACTGAGGACAGAAACAGTTTGTAGACATATATATATATTAATTTTCATAATTATTGCAGTGGAAACTGACCAAGTATTTTTGGTTTTAGAAATTGAAAACTAATTCATTCCTCCCTACATTTATTCAATAAATGATAATTAAAGCCAGTTACTTTCTTCTTCGAGAGCACATGTGACAGAGTTCTTGCCTTCAATGAGTTGAGTTCCCAGGTTGGTTCGTGGAGGGGTGGGACTGATAAATACATTGTTACATACCATCTTTGCTGTAATTGATTTCAGTGATGAAGAGTCATTCTACAGATAAGTACAGGGCAAGTAAAAGTACTTCAGGTAGAGATAAATTAATATGTGGTTCAGAGGTCTGCGACAGAATGTAAATGGAATGTGCCAAGTGCAGGCGACAGCTTATGGGTGGCTGAGCAGAGCTTGAAGTTCATGTGGCAAGAAGAAAAAGTGTGGAGAGGAAGCCGGCATGGGAGTGCACACAGGAAGGTCTATGACAAGCATGGATGAGGGTCAGAGAGCTTAGGATTCAAGATAATAATTTTTTCTGTCTACAATAGGTAGTTATTGAAAACCTGTGTGAGAAGGATTGTACATTAGAGAGAGAATTGTCCACAATTGGAACTTAGAGGTGAATTGGAAGGAAGATATTATGGAGATAGAAACCAATCAGAAAGCTATTTCAATGATGCAGAAAGATAACTGTATATTAACCTGCATCTAACTTGAACCTACTTTAGGTAAGAAACTTAATTGTTCCTAAAGTCAATGTTTACAGAAACAAAACATGATAAATTCCTCAAATAAATATCTGCAATTCTAAGATTCTAGTCTTTTAAAATAGTAACATTATAACAATACTATCACAAGTAGATCATTGTAATGGATGAACACTGAAGCTCCAGTTCTATCCTCTTGCCAGAAAACTAATTAAATACTAGCTCTTCACCTGCCATCAGCTTCACAAACTTGGCATGGGCTCCCTGCATGGGCTCTGTGCTGTTGTCAGGCTAATGAGCTGAGTTCAAAAAGCAGCCAGGTAGCTCTTCTGGCTACACTGATTACTTACAGAATTTCAGTGGAAGCATTTTCTGTTGTTAAAGTATCTTTTTGCATTTGCTTTTCTTCTGCTTCTATAACTTGCTTCTTTTCTCCAAAAATTGCTATCGGTTTCACAGCAAGCTTGCCTCCAGACACAATGTGACTTTCGACTTCTAAAACAAGACCTAAGCAGAAATGCACAAATTGCAAGGACATATTAGTTACAATTGTAGAGTACCAGGAATTTAAAAATACATGCTGAAATACAAATACAAACAATTCCCAGCTTTTCAGTCTATTCATCAGTTGTTCTTTGAACTAACAAGTTGGATTTAATTTCATTTAACTTTTGTAGATTCTTTTCTCTTAAGTTATTCTTAGTCAAAAATACTAAAAGTAGGTCTTTCCAAAAATAAATTAATTATTTTAGATTCTAACTATTCAAATGATCTACATCATTCAGATACATTTCCTAGATCATTCTCCCGGATCCAAACTCATCAGTGAAAGTTCCAATGGCTTGAAAGACACATCCAAAGTTTTACTATGCAATGTTTAATATACATAATAGGATAATGTTTTAAATTGTATTGTTTTTCTTTTCTTTTTCTTTTTACTGTATAGAACCTTTATTCCTGGATCCTTGGCAGTCTTAAGGGAAAGAGAAGGATCATGAGGAAATTAGGAAGGTTATATAAGGAAAACAAAAGATAGTTTTTGACATTCAAATACCATACTGCCATAAGATAATAACCATGCAACTCAGGATAGAACAGTCCTGACCTATGAGCCTGTAGCTCCCATGTCAAGGGTTTAACTTCAGGACTGACCTGGAGAAAAACCACCATTTCTGGGCCAGAGGGGATTGGGAGCATAAGACAGAGAAAGCCAGAAAACCAGCAACAGGGCATCCCGATTCTCCCCACTGGCTTCACTTTGGGTAACTTAGTTAAACCTGGGAAACACTGAGGACACTGCCCATTGTCCAGGACACTGTGCAGAGATTACCTCTCAAGCTACTCTTGCTATTTCAATCTGAAGCACAGCCATGTGAACCTGGATCTAGTATCTGGGAGGTACAGCAATGGCCCAGGATTTGCTGAGAGTCTTGCTGGGGAGATTGCAAGAGGTGGCTGCTAAGCAGAGGTGAGGTGGCTCTGCAGCAAGGACTGCAGAGATGACCACTCAGTCATAGCCAGGCTTCAGAGGGCCAGAGGGAGCAGAGGGGAGGCTGAGTTAGGCAGGAAGCATCACCCACCCAGAACATTGTCTGGGATAAAAGAATGGAACACAGGTCACCCCAGCCACAGATTTCAGACACCAGAGCCCAGGAAGCAAGTGCTTTACTTTTATCCTAGAGAGGAACTAAAGTGCTATGGAAAATGAGACATCTGAAAGTTCTCCCTAAGGGACTAATTAAATTAATAGATGGGACAAAATCTAAAGTCAATTGGACATTTGATTTCTTTTCGTTGATAAGAATGCACAAGGCTCACAAAGAAAGCCAGATCTGTTAAAAAGAAAATGAAGAGATTATGTTTTCTTTGCATATCTAAATTGTAGTATGAACTAAAATATGCAACCCTATTAAATATATGTTAGTCTAAAGAGTTAAACAGCAAGATGTGGAGGTGAAATATGAGCTGCTTAAACAAAACTGGATTTTTTAAAACAAAGTAATATCATCAAGCATTTTATTTTGGCTGCATATATTAAGGTAAATAATTCCAATGCTTACCTTCTATCTTACGTGTGCTACAGAAGGCTTGAATTTTGGAAACGTCTGACGCTAGGTTCCTCAGGAAGATTTGTTTCTTTTGCTGAGCAATGGACAGATCAGGATTGATCCAATGTTCTCCACATGAAACATACACCTATAAAAAAAAGAGTCTATGATCCTGTATACAATTGTTCACAGAAGCATTTGTAATAGCCCAAACTGGAAACAATCAAAAGAATCAAAATGTCCTACAATATGTGAATGATTGAAGAAACTATGGAATACTACTCAGAAATAAAAAGGAACAAACTGCTGATAAAGGCAACAACTTTGATGAATATCAAGGATTTTGTACTGAGTTTAAAAAGTACTTTTCTGTACTATCTTTCAAACTTCCTATGAATCTATACTTATTTTAAAATAAAAGTTTTTAAAAATATTTTTTAAGAAAGGAGAGGAAAGAGGGAAGAAAAAAGGAAGGAAGGGACAATGAGGATGGAAGGAAGGAAGAAAGGAAGGGAGGAAGGGAAACGGGTGGAAATCAGAAGCTGGCAAACTATGAGTGAAGCCCAAATCTGGTCTGCTGCCTGTTTCTGTAAATAAGAGGTTTATTGGAATACTGCTATGCCCATTCATTTGCATGTTGTCTGTGGTTACTTCCACACTACAGTAGCACAGTTGATGTTTCAGTAGGAACCCTATTGTTCACAGAGCCCCAAATATCCACTATCTGTACAGTAAAAGTTTAATAACCCCTTGTATAAATGAACTTGTAGTACAAACACCAAAATGTTAACATGGCTATTTCTATGTAATAAGACTATGGATGATATGTTTTCCACCTCAGTTTGCTTACATGCATTTCTTAAATGTCCTTAAATGGATGAATACATATATATTTCTTTAAAGATGAGAAAAAAATAGTAATATATTGAGAAAGACTCAGTAAGAAGAAAGAGAAATTCAGTGCTGTGTTTTCTGATCATTCACATGGATCATTACATTCTTTGTATGAAGATCCAGGGAAAACGTCCTTAAAAATTTCTTCTTCTTGAAAAATGGGCTTCTTTTTCTTTTCTGGGCATATTTAATCATATAACTGTTCATGTTTCCATCTTCATGTTGGCTGCTCAGGGCAGTGACAGGTTAATTTCTAGCAAATATTCAATCACTCCTGGCTCCATCTTACCCTTCTCACACCCATGTTCCCGTTGCCCTGGTGCCTTATCTATACTTATCTTTATACTAAATGTATCTTTTTGTATTTTATGTTTTAATGCAATCTACCTTAATTTTTCTGGACAAAACAAAGTGAATAAGCATAGCAACATAAAAAAAAGAAAAACATTAAAAATAAACAAACAGAAAACTTGGAAATGACAGCATTAGGATTCAAAATAAGATTACCAGCCTCCAAGAACAACAGACTGTCCACCCCATCATACTGCCTCTGATACTGGTCAATGGTTCTTTGGTTCAAGACTCTCTCTTAAGGGGTCTTTATGTTCAGAGTCAAGTTCTGATAATACAGTGCAAGCTTTGTTCTCTGTTCAAAGAATTTTAGGCATCAGTCAAGACAGGTTTGTTTTTTTTTTTCCTGCTTGTTTTATTTTAAATTTTTCAAGTTGATGCTTTAAATTCCATAAATGAGAGAAAAGGCTGGGCCACTAAAATCCTTCTACTTATCAGCCTTCTCCAGCAACTTAAAATACAGTGTGTGAAAAAGTAAATGTAATTTTTTACCTAAAAAAGCAAAATTATCATTTAGTAAGAAATCATTAAACAACTACATTTTGAAGGTGTCAAAAAGAATAGAGTATTTATCTCCTTCAGAGTAGGAGACAGAAACTACAAGTGGTGAGTAATTTAGCTTTCTCCAGTTTCTTTCTTAATTTATAGAGTGGGGATAATGAAAATATCCATCTCATAGGGTCATGATGAGCATTAAGTGGGTTAATTTATACACTGCTTTGTAAACCATGCCTGACACATAGGAACCTCTCAACAATGTTAGCTCTTAGTGCTACTTGCTGATTGTTGCTCAGTCAGGATAATTCCAAAAAAAAAAAAAAATAAGAATAAAAATAGTAAGCATGTGAAGTCTTATATTCAAGAACATTTTTACTTGGGTGGTATTCATAAATTAGTATTTTTAATTTCAGATCCATGTCTTTACCAGTTCATCTCTTTTCAGGTCTTCTAGGGTAAATATTTCCTTCCCCTTTTCATTGAACAATCTCCGAGCTGCAGAAGGTAAATTTAAAATTTCAGTGCACCTGTAAAAAGAGGTATACAAATTGACCTTGCATACAGAAAGCTTCAGGCAGCAAACAGGAAAAAATAAAAGAAATCAAGGGACTAGATCATTAATGACAACTCTGTGGGACTGTGAGACAACCAAGAGCTGGACTCTGGAGCTTGTCAGACCATTTTGAGTCTCATTTTCTAAGTTGTGTCACTCTGGGAAATTAATTAACCTCCCTATGCCTAAATTTCTTACCTTCCAGGCTTGCTGTGAAGCTTAAAGGTTGACTTTTAAAAGTGCTTTGCACAGTGCCAGGCATGACCAATAAACAGGTAGGCACATTGCTATTGACTTTTCATTCCTCAATATGTTTCACACTTTCCTATTTTTGTGCCTGTGCTCATGCTCTTCCTTCTACCTAAAACATCTTCCTCAGCTTTTTCTGTTGAAGTTTTGATCTTTCTGCAAGGTTGTCAAAGTCACATCTCTCACCAAGTTCCCTATCACCCTTCACCAGAAGTGACTGCGATAGTCTTTTAACTTCCTTTGAAACTGAACTATTTAGCTTGGCTAAACATTAGACATTTATTTCTTCTCCCCTCCTCACCCCCAGCCCCCAAACAAGCACTAGGCAAGCCCTGTGATATTGAGATGAATGACAGTTTCTCTGTTTCCTGAGGAACTCCCTATCTAGTCAAGGGTAGAGACAGGTCAGCAACTGAAGTGTAATATGAAATGAGTGCTGCCATAGGCACCTTGCCAGTGTGCTGTGAGAACACAGAGGGAAAAAAATGAGTTCCTCCAGAGGAGTCTTGGAAGTGACATATGGGTTAGGTTTTAAAGGATAAATACAAGTTCATCAGAAAGGGTTAGACTGAGCTATCAGGAAGAAGGAAGAGATAAAGCTGGAAAAGAAGACGGGAACCAACTGAAAGCACTTAGGATTCCAGACTGATGAACCTGGTTTCTTTGCCATAAAGCAGAAAAGTATTGAACGTGCTAGAGCAGATGCATTGTGTTATCAGATCTGCTCTTTAGATAGTTTACTGCCAGAAAGGTGGAAAATGGGCTGGAGGGGGGAGAGGGAAAGATTGGACCCTAGACAGCCAGTTTAGGATAGAGGTAAAGAGATACAATTGTGAGAAAGGAAAAACAGAGCAAAACGGGAAAAAGGGAGTGATGGGGCATTTCCTAAAGAACACTGTATGATGATCCTGCCTTTGGAAGAAGAAAAGTGTATGATTCTTGCCAAATATACTTGGTGTTAGAATGCACTGCTTATAGTAAATGAATTTGAGGTAACTTTATGCTCATTAGCAAGACTCATCTGTATGAATATTTCTAAATTTTATTTCCTTCAATGGAATAAAGCAATTAAGCAGATAATTAGGCCCTCCATTTCTCTGAGGGGGTCTAAGAAGTAAATAAACCAGTGGGAACTAAGTCCCTACTTCTCACATCACAACTCTGGAGGCTGATGGACCAGGAAGGACTGGGCCATGTTCCTCACCTACAGGAACTGGTGAGATGTGGGTGGGAGGAAACTATAAGAGAATTGAGTGCAAGTCACAAGATTTCTCTGCTTCTGTTTGGGTGATATCCAAATTTCTAACCCAATTCCTTCTACTTCCCCCAAATTGATATATTTGCAGATCTAACAGTAATAGTATGGCTTAGGGGTGAGTGAATTCTATCTCTATTAGTTCCTGCAAGATCTGATTGTTAAAAAGAACCTAGAACACCTCTCTCCTCTCTCTTTCCCTCTCTCTCTTGCTTCCTCTCTTACCATGTGATCTCTGCACATACCAGCTCCTCTTCACCTTCTGCCATGAGTGAAAGCAGCCTAAAGCCCCCACCAAATGCAGATGTCCCATCTTGAACTTTCTAGCCATCAGAATTGTGAGCCAAATAAACCTTTTTTTTCTTTTTTTTCTATTTTTTTTTATTTTAGCATATTATGGGGGTACAAGTGTTAAGGTTACATATATTGCCCATGCCTCCTCCCTCGTCGAGTAAGAGCTTCAAGCGTGTCCATCCCCCAAACGTTGCACATCTTAAATTACCCAGCCTTAAGTATTCCTTTATAGCAACACAAAATGGACTAAGACAGTGATTTTTAAAAATTGGTTTACAGTAGATAAAATATAAAAATGTAACTATCCTGGCCTCAATTCAAGCAAATATAAACCAAAGCAAGGTGTTGTAAATTGTGGAACATATTTTTTAATGAGATTAATTTATATTTCTAGAGTTGGTAGTTCAGAAAGCTAGGGGATTTGTCAGACCTTGAAATTTGAGGAGAAAAATTGCACTAATTAGTATTGGTATTATAGACTCACATAGTTTACATGTTTTACAGATTAAAAACTCCAGAATAATTATATTAACAACTATTTTCTTATGGAGGTACATATGTATTATGCATGATCTGTAATACATAATCATTCAGGCATTTAAATAGAAAATATCTTTGCATTTAAAATATTAAGTATTTACCTTTCCAAAAGTTGGTAAAATTCACTCTGGTTTGTTTCTGTTTCAGAATACTTAGTGACACAGATTTTCTCTTTCCTTTTAGTGTTAACACTTCTGAAACAAATGATCCAAGATTTGATTGACATGTCAGTATACATTAATTATCTCTCAACATGTTTCAATATGTGAAAAAAATTTAACATGATTTGCCCTAAAATAATCTTTCTTTCTTTAAAAAATACAGTTTTAAAAACTATCATAATTAAATATTAAACTTCATATTAAATATTCAATAATAGGACATGTTATTACACAAACATTTATACTATGACTAATTCATATAAGAAAATAAATTTTCACTATTTTAAATTCTCTTATAAAATGCTGAACTCTCTGAAATGTAAATTTATGACCTTTTAAGAAAACTCAGAGATTGCATTCATTTTATCTGTAATGATTTATTCATATATTGTCCTATTATTAATCCAAACCTAAACATTTTAAAATTGAAAAATAAACAATGATGGTTATAGAAAAAGTATGCTAAATTGGAATATACATCTGTTCAAATTTTCAAGTTAGAAAACTATTCTATGCATTTTTAAAGCCCCTATTTTATTAAATGAAATAGTGATTGAACACTACATAATCATTCATTCATTCCTTAGAAAAGGTAATCAATACAGTTATTTATTCATTTGATAGCACTGATTTAGGACCTATTATGGGCCCTTAATCATATGGTTAACAAAGTGACTCTCTAATACCTTTCTACTTGATTAGCTAGGACACAATGTTCCATGACCATACCACAGCGGATTGCACATCTGCTATGGATGAATCACACATCATTCCTGTTTTCTGTCTCGTGGATAGAGACATACGCAGTTAATCATGAAATAGAATGGTAGGTGCTATGCTAGTGGAAAGCCCAGGGTGATAAGCAGTGGAGGACGTAGCAGCTACAACTAACTCGAGAGGGGGGAGCATCTAGTTCAGAGTCAAAATCTAGACATGAAGTCTAAACTCATTCTCAAAAGATCTTTACCATAAAGATGTTGGGAAATGGAGGGGGTGAGAGTGGGAATGGAGGAGTGTTGATAAGAAATAAAGCTAGATAAATATGCATTGATAGGTCACAAAGGGCCCTAAAAGCTCTATTAAGGATCTTGAGTGAATCCAGAGATCATACCTTGCTAATAAGTAATATATATATTAAAATTATCTAAAACATAAAGTTTACTTTACAGCCTCATATTGGGCCTTTCCTCTTAGCATTCTTTAAAATATCACTTATAAAATTTTCCTTATTTAACTTCTAGTTCTGAGAGATGAATTTGCCTGTGACACAAAAAAAACTTATGAAGGTCTTAATTTATATGAACTTGACAGCCATTATCAAGACTAATTGACAAGATCTTGTCACTCACCAAGAGTAATAAACAACTAGATAATCAGCAAATACTATTTGATCTTCCTTTGGCTTTGCAGATAGAGGAACCAATAACAACAACAACAAAAACCCCTCAAAACTGTCTCAATTAAATTATTAAATAGCTAAAGGATAGCATGTTACTAGAGCAGGATTTGGTTAGAATGGATCTGTATTTCATCATTCTAGTATGATTTTGCTTGTAAAGACACTAAATGGTCCAACCCTCTTTCTTGTTATACGTAAGTTTCAGGTTAATGCAAATTGTGTATCCCTGTGTGGTTTTTTTTGTTTTCTGTGGGTTATTTTTGTTTTTTGTTTGTTTTTTATTTTTGAGACAGGTCTCACTCTGTCACCCAGGCTACAGTACATTGGCATGATCTTAGCTCACTGTAGCTTCAAACTCCTGGGCTAGAGTGCAGTGGCACAATTATAGCTCACTGCAGCCTCGAACTCCTGGGCTCAAGTGATTCTCCTGCTTCAGCCTCCTGAGTAGCTGGGACTACAGGTACCACACCATACCCAGCTAATTTTTTTATTTTTTGTAGAGGTCAGGTCTCTTTATGTTGCCCCGCCCGGCTGGTGCAAACTCTTGGGCTCAAGTGATCCTTCTGCCTCAGCCTCATAGAGTGCTAGGATTACAGGTATGAGCCACCATTCCTGGCTGCTATATGTTAATAGAATTTATTTCTTCTAGAAGATATGTAGCTTGGATTTATTAAAAGTAGCATAGCAGGGCTTCTACCTTGCACAACTTTAGGATGCTATGCATTACGATAACAATGTGAGTGGTGCTCTCTGAACCTGGGCAATACAGTCAACCTAATATAACCCAAGACTCTTTCCATTTAAACTTTCTGTTAACCAGTACTTACACACAGATTGGCGTGTGAGTGTGTGGGGGGAAGGGGTGGAGATGCTATTGATGATCCTATAGAACACTTCCAGAATCAGCAAAAAAAGATTAAACTATTTTTAGTAGAGTTTTAGTGTCAAGTGCATGCCAGTGTGTTTTAACCATTTGGGAATAATTAATTTGTGTGGTGAACAAAGTGACTCTTTAATACCTGAATACCTGATGAAATAGGACACACTGTTCCACAGACATAGCATACAGGTAGTAGAGAGTTTCACATATTCTGTGCTAGATAGTTGTCCAAATTTGTCAATCTCTCAAAATATGTTTGGATTATCTGACTTAATGATGCATTTTAAAACATTAATGTGTTAAGAAAATATCTGTATATAATTTTGAGCCTCAATTAAAAATATAGAATTAAAAAATGTAAGAAGGAACAGAAATTATGTGTTAACTTTGGGTGTTTAAAAAAAGTCATACACTACTTTAAGGACATTACCCTAACATTTTACATCTAGCAGAATGAGCTAATTATGAAATGTATGCGTCAAAGATTTCAATTTCAGGCTTGACTATACTTTGAAGATTAATTTTTTACTTTATCATCTTTACAGGCAGTTCAGTGGTCAGCCAATCTGAATGTTACTCATTGTTCAGTGATGTATGAAGTATATTTAATCAATGTGAAGAAAGTAACATTAAACTATTATCAGCAGCCTCAAATATTCTAAACATCTCAAAAGAAAGGTCAAGAGGTAATATCGCTGCTAATAGTATGAGAAACAATGTGTTTAACTCATTCTTTACACTAGAGCTTTTCAATGATCTATTATTTCTTTTGTCATAAAATGAAATGAGAGTATAACAGGTGACTTTTCTCCAATGTTGGAGAAATATTGGCTGTTTGGGAAGATTTTATTCCAATCATAAGGTAAGCTAAAGTGCAGATTAATGCCTTTCTAGGACTATAAACTTTTAAAATGTTATCCTAAGGAAAGCATATAAATTATATAGCTATACTTCTGAGAACTATATTTGTTCATTAAATATTTCAAAGATTTAAACATAAATGATTATGTATAATAACTTAAATAAGGAATTACAAAACTATATTTAGGAAGGAATTTATGATTTCAGTTATTTCAAGATATATTAATAAAACTCAAACAAAAATGCTAATTCAAAATATACATTGATCATAGAACTTTTTAAAATTAGAGTTAATCATGTCTAACTCATCTTCCGTGCTTAGCCTGAAGCATTAGAGTTCAAGTTAAGTTCCTGACATAGAAACTAAAATGAATCTTAATATCTATTTTCATCTTCAAATATCGATATGAGATTCTTTTTTCTAACTAAACTCAGAAATCCCCCAGAAAAAAAACATTCATAATGAAGACAAAAGTCAGTAGAAAATAGTATATGTAATAAGAAGTATGAACAAGTTATTCTTACTGTGTTTTCCGTCCAGGTGAGATGGCTGGACCGAGTATAGTAAGGGATCTGTTTTTATTCTTGTCTCCATTCCGCAAAACTCTGAGTCTCAAAGGGACATATTGCTCTGGTGTCTTACAGATGGGTTTTTTCATGGGAGGACTATTTGGAACAAGCAGTCCTTCTATTGGCCAATCAAACCCCTTCAGAAACAAATGATAAAAATGTAATAATAAGTAAATAAGAAGAGTCATTGCTACATTAAAAAATATTAAACATACTGCTTATACCCTTAATCTTTCATTCATTCAACAAAAATTTATTCAGCACCTAAGATGTTCTAGACAATTCTAATTAATGCTTTATTTTAATAAAGAGGAAAGATAACCTATTTTAAAAATTTACCTAGAAACCTGCATTATGTTGAAACATGGGTGATCTATTCCCTTTCATGAAATATCATTCTAGAAAAGTAGAACTGACTTAACACGGAATTTTTTTGCTCACATGTGAAGTATCTTTACTCAATGTAAAGGAAGAAAGAATGTGTGAAAAGTGGTTTTAAAATAGCTTGAAATAATATCACCTCAAACTAGATAGATTTGGCAAAAAAGAATATATTTGGGAAATATTCCAAAAAAAACCAGAATAAGATAATAAAAGAACTTAAACACATTTCAGATTTTCCACTGTAGAATTCAGTTACTTTGTACATTCATTTATTAACTCATGAATTCTCCAAATATTTACTGATTGTTTATTATACTCGGGCACAGTACTAGCTACTGGAAATAAAACTATGAACCAGACAGGATACTCTCCCTCAAGGAATTTATAGGGAGGTTCTCAGAAACTTACCTAGAAATAAACTGGCAACAATAGTGTAAGTATAATAATGACAGGCACACTCTTTCCCTAGAGATCTGCCTGTTCTTCAGGTCTTTCCTCAAATATCACAACAACGAAGCCTTCCCTGGTCAATCTAAAATTTGCAAACTGCTCTCCCTTCTCCACAACACTCCCTAGCCCCTGTCTTTCTATTTTATTTTTAGCTCTTATCATTGACTAACATTCATAAGAGGATCTTGTAAAATAGCCAGAGAGCTAGACTTTCTGCATTTGAATCTTTAACCTACCACTGTAGTTGCATGACCTTGAGCAAACTTTTGACCAAAAAGAGAAAGAAATTGATGGATAAGTTCTTCCATCTTTGTCCCCCAGGAGACTCTCCTAAGAACACTGTTGAAATCACTTCTTGGAGGACAGTTTGATAGCACATTCTCATATTTGCTCTCCTTCTTTCCCTGCTTGTCCCTTACTCCTGCTCCCTAAGACTGTACTTCCTAATATAGTAGCAAATAAGCCATTTGCCTCAGGTTCTGCCTTCTGAAGAACACAGGCAAAGACACCATAATACACATAAACTAAAAGTAGGAGAAGTTTCCTAAAGGGAATATAGGTACCAATATCCAACGAAGGGGAAAGTCATGTTGGATAGGCAAAAACCTCAGATAATCACTACACAGGTATTCCTAGAGTCCTGGTAGTGTCCAACTGACATGACAAAGAAGATACACGTGGACTTATGAGATGTCCTCACATGGTAGGCCAATAATGATCGAGACATATGGCATTTTGTTTATGGAAGTAGAGAACATATTTTAAAAGCTAGTATAAAATAAGTACAATTACATTTCTTACATTCTCTGAAAAGTTTTTAGAATCTTGCAATTATAATAAAAAAAATTTCTAAATAAATTACAAGGAAAATCTGAAGTTTGTGAAGATTAAATACTGCAATAGCATCTAATTATGATGCACTACTTTGTGAGATGAGTGAGTAAATAACATTAATTGCATTTAATTAGGAGAAAAGCAATATATATTAATGTTCAAAAATCAGATGACTATAATTCTTTTCAGTTTATTGTTTTTTCCTTTGTTTTTATATAATATTTTGCTTAGTAAATATATTAACAATAGTGGCAAACAAGATCACATTTCTAAATAAGCAAACTTTGAATTTAAAAAGTTTCATTTTATTCCTGACTTTCACTAAGAACCTTTGATTGGTATGAAAATCAAATTGCAAAGGGCAGACTGTGTACAGTGTTCATTTAGATGAGTATCTATTATCCATTAATGAAGCAACATGAGGCTGCTTTTCCTTACTGTGGTAACTGAGAATAAATATCAATGGTTATGACAAATTCATCCTATATTTTCATTGGAAATTGTCCAATTGCATAAAGGTTTTTACTTATGTGAGGGGTAGGAGTAGAGTGGAGCCATATAACTTCAAGAAGTAAGTTTGGGATTGATTTGTAACTATTCTACAGAAAAAATATTAAGCAATACAGTTGATCAAGCAAATCAATGTTTACACTAGTTTCAGTTATAAAAGATCATGAAGCAGGGTTAAATAGGTGGGAGAGATGTGGGAGAAAAATATCAATGGAAAATTACTGTCACATTGAAGTCTTGACATAAAATAACCAGTATTTCTACTTTTCTTACTAAACCAGGAAAGAGAAAGGCAAGAGGAAAAAGCTTCTCCCTTGTGGTTTGCTTGTGAGACCTGTTCATTCATAGAATTAGGATGTGGAACTAAGATTTTTGTTTTACTATCCCATGCATGCTTTATTTCTGATGAATATATCTGAAATGTGTATCTTAATTTCTAGCTACTTTTAGATCTTCTCACTTCTAACTTGTCTCATGACAAGTAGCAGCCACAGCAGACTTTAGCACCACTGAAGCACTATGAACTTCAGACAGCTTATTTCCTTTCCAGTTAGATGAAGGGAGCCTCCCTGAAACATCACAAAAACCCAATCCCAAAAGATAAAAAATTAACTTAGGTTTCAAAACTTTCCAAATGTATGACGACCACGGTCAGTTCTTCCTTTAAGCTGCTTTAATTTCTGTTTTGATGTTTAAGGCCCTTCATTTTGTCCTTCATGGACATAGACAAATATGGTGTCAGGATAATGAAGGACAACAAAAACATGGGTATGTAATTACACTAACTGGAGTGCTGTTTCTTCCCCTTCCATTTTCCCAGTTGGAATTCTTACGTCCCCATTCATTTCTTTATTGGTTTCCTCTATGTTCACACTATTCCATGGCACAGATGAACTGTCAGGAGACCCTTGATGGGCCATGGTGCTCCCTTAAATTGATAATTCTACTTTTTCTTTCTCACTTCTCTCTCATAACCAGAGAATGTGTGTGTGTGTGTCTGAAAGACCAACTCTTAAGCGGCGATCTAAGGTTTTAGTTATATTGGCCCTCCTTCATTTATTTGTTATTAATAAAATTATAGATTCTTTAATTTTCTCTCTTGAGCCTTATCACATCTCCTTTCCCCATCCTTTATTCTGACAGCTAATTTTCATCACTTCTTAACAGATTAATATACTTTTAACTTTCTTTTGTATAGCATGAGCCCATCCAAATAGATATAATTTAGTAATTTCAAAATTTTAGAATCATTCCCCACTGGCTCATTCCAAATATTATATCTTTTCCATTTCATTTTTCCAACAATTTCTTCTTTAAATATGAAAATCTATTGCTTCTTACTTTTAAGTGTCAAAAAGTACAACTTTTTCCCCAAGGGGTGAAAAAATAACTTGAATTCCTAGAAATTTTCCCAGTGAATTTAAATCACAGAGGAAACCAAAAGAATCCATTAATTTTGTGTTTTAATAAGGCTTTAACATGTTTTTATTTTTTTTTAATTTCAGAATATTACAGGATTATAAACACTTTGGTTATGTATATTGCCTTTGCACCACTGGAGTCAGAACTACAAGCATACCCATCCCCCAGAAAGTGCACACAACATCCATTTGGTGTGAATTTACCCATTCTCTTCTCCTCCTCCCACCTGCCCAATACTCGATGAATGTTACTTTCATATGTGCACATAAGTGTTGATCAGTTATGGAGAACTAACAAGCTATATAATGGGAGAAAATATTTGCATGCTACACATACAATAAAGGGCTGATAACTAGCTTTAACATATTTTTAAAATACTGATCTCAGTATCCTCAGGAAATACTGTTTGTTCACAAAAATATTAATTAATTACCTTTTAAAATGAATAATATTTAAAAGTGAAAACAGCATGAGATCAGTTCTCAAAGCAGCTATCACCACTAAGAAGTAAATAATTTTTTATATTAATGCCATCTGAGATACTACAAAGATAATTCCATATTTCCATATTATTTACATTTCCTTAAATTTTCCCTTAGTCATCATTCTATTTTAGAAGATTCTTGATTCGACCAGTGAGGAGGCACAGGGAATTGTGATTTTCAAGGGGAAAGAAAGAACATGCTTGAGACCAGAAAATATGACAAAATAGGTAAGTTGACTGATCTTCTGCTGAAAACAATTAAAAAGGTCAGAACAAAATATTTTTGAAAATCTTTTAGATGTATCATTAACCTAACAATAGAGTAAGACATACTTGTAACCTAGAGAGGTAAGCAAAATGCTAAACTTGGCTTTCATCTTGAGGGAATTTGCTAAACCCCAAGGAACTTGAGCTTCTCTTCCCATGGTTTTGCAGGAGAAGGGCTCAGGAGACAAATTCCAGGGCCAAGCCAATGTGGGAAGTCAAATAGGAGATCCTCTCCCTTCATAAAACAGGAATCACAATAGGCTATACTTCACTGAAAAGGCAAACCAGAAATAATACCTCTTCAGGTGGTTACAAATAAAATAGATGATCTCAAACATTTTTACTGTGTGAAGAAAAATAATCTTCATTGAGAATTCATACCATAGGTTGATCCTTGCTTGGAGTTGAAATCATATTAGACAAAGAAGAAGAAAAACTTAATAAAATGGAAGAAAAATTCTAAAAATATGATGCAAAAAGGCATGATAAAGATGCAAAGAGATGAAAAATATGAAAGAGTAGTTAAGAGACATGGAGATCCAAAATGAGAAGCTCTAGCATACACCTAATCAGAGTTCTATAAAGAATGGATTGAAGGAATATATGAAAGATAACATTTGAAGAGTGATGGGTGATAATTTCCCATAAATTATGCAAGATACCAATTCACAGATTCAGGAACCCCAAAGAATCTGAGATTCTGAAGCAACATAAATAAAAAAAATCTTCTCTCAGATACATTGTGGTGAAACTATAGAATACCAAAGAAAAAAGAAGGTATTAAAAGCAGCCAGAGAAAAAAGATAGATTACCTACAAAGAAATAACATTTAGAATGATAGCTGGCTTCTCTGTAATAACTATGGAAATTAGAAGTCAATGATGATTATCTTCAGTTTACTAAGTGAAAATACCTTACATGAATGAGGGCAAAATAAAGACATTTTCAGATAAGTGAAAACTGAAAGAGTTTGTTTCCAATAAGTAAAAGAAGGATGTACAAGGCAGAAAGAAAGTAGTCCCAGATGGTAAGACTGAGACATAAAAAGGAATTATAACAAGAGGGATGAAAAATTTGGGGTAAGTCTAAATACATATTGACTGTACACAATAATGTTAACATCTATGGAAATTTTTAAATGATAAAATTAAAATACATGACAATAATAGCATATAAATCACAAACCATGATTGACATTAAAAGATTCTAACCTTCTTGATTGAGAGAAGAGCAAATATATTTAACTTTAGATTTTGTCATTTATGCATGCAAATGAAAATGTTCAGGATAATAACAAAAAAAGAATGAAAATAGAGAGTATAATTTCCAAACTAGCAGATGATAAAAATATGATGAGGAAAAAAGTCCATATAAAGGAACACAAATATAAGGGAAAAAGAAACAGAAAAGTCAGGGCAAATAGAAAGTAAACAATTATATACTTCTAATTACAATAAATAGAGGAGGCCAAATACTTTTTAGGTTAGAGACAAAGATTGTCAGACAAATTTTTTTAAATTAACTATATGCTGATCATTGGGGACACCTCTAAAACAGAATAATATACAAACAGAAAGTAAACGGATCGAAAGAAGAAATATAAGGCAAATAATAGCCAAAAGAAAATGGGATATTTCTGTTAATATTGGATAAATGAGACTTTTACAAGAGCTAGAGAGAGTTTCTACATAATGATAGAAGTTTAAAATCACCAGGCAGATAAAATATTTTGAACATATTATGTGCCTAATATGCAAAGATGCAAAAATTATCACCCATCACTCTTCAAATATTCTCTCTCTTATATTCCTTCAACCCATTCATTATAGAAATCTGATTAGGTGTATGCTAGAGCTTCTCATTTTGGATCTCCACATCTCTTAACTCCTCTTTCATATTTTTCATCTCTTTGCATCTTAGGTATAATCTTAAATTTCAAAATATATAAAGTAAAATTTGACAGACTTCAAAAAGAAATCTATATAAATTTTATCTATATAAATTCCTCTCCATAATGGAAGACTTAATCACATCTTTCTAATTAATTGAAAAAAAAAAACCAACAATTTGCAAGCTTGACCTCTTACATCAAACAACTGCAATTCAAAAGCTTCATAGAAGTTATCAGAAATCTGACCACACATCAAACTCTGGGAAGATTCATAGCAAATAGGACATTTCTAAAACACATAATATTCAAGCTGGCCAAAGTCAAAGTGAAAGAGAAAATTCTACAAGCAGCTAGACATAAGCAACAACTGACCTACAAAGGGAAACCCATCAGGATAACAGCAGACTTCTCAGCAGTAACCTTACAACCCAGAAGGGAGTGGGCCCCCATCTTCAGTCTTCTTAAACAAAACACTGCCAGCCTAGAATTTTGTATCCTGCAAAACTAAATTTCACATTTGATGGAGAAATTAAGTCTTTCTTAGACAAGCAAATGCTGAGGGAATTCACCAAGTCCACACCCACTTAGCAGGAAGTACTCCAACCTGTATTATACCTGGTTCAACACAATAGATGCCCACCAGTGTAAAAACCCCAAAGGTTAAAGGTCAGAGCTCAGTTACCACAATGGCTCAAGAGGTAAAACAGAGCAGTAAAGTTCTACTCAAGAGGTAGAACAGAAATCTATCACACTTATCAACTCCTTTAATGTGAATGGCTGGAACTCCCCACTCAAGAGACATAGGCTGGCTGAATGGAAAAAAAAACCAAAAAAAAAAAAAACCCACAAAGTGACTGTCTGCTATTTCCAGGAAACACATCTAATCCACAAGGACTCATTTAGACTCAAGGTGAAGGGATGGAAAGCAATATTTCATGCAATGGGAACCAAAAGAAAGCTGGTATAGCAGTTCTCATATGAGATAACATAGCCTTCAAATCAACAAAAGTAAAGAAAGACAAAGATATTCATTATATAATGGTAAAGGGAACAATTCAACAAGAAGATATAACAATTCTAAATATTTAAGCACCTAACACAATATGCCCAGATTCATAAAGCAAATCCTACTTGATCTAAACAAAATGATACACAGCAACACCTTAATAGCCAGGGACTTCGACACCTCTCTGACAGAATAGCACAGATCCTCCTAAGAGAAAATGAACAAAGAAACAATGAACATAAATAGAACTCTAGAACAACAAATGGGTCTAATAGACATTTATAGAACAGGCCGGGCGTGGTGGCTCACAACTGTAATCCTAGCACTCCGGGAGGCCAAAGTGGGTGGATTGCTCGAGGTCAGGAGTTCAAAACCAGCCGGAGCAAGAGTGAAACCCTGTCTCTACTATAAATAGAAAGAAATTAATTGGACAACTAATATATATAGAAAAAATTAGCCGTGCATGATGGCACATGCCTGTAGTCCCAGCTACTTGGGAGGCTGAGGCAGAAGGATTGCTTGAGCCCAAGAGTTTGAGGTTGCTGTGAGCTAGGCTGATGCCATGGTGCTCACTCTAGCCTGGGCAATAAAGTGAGAAAAAAAAAAAAAAAAAAAAAAAAGACATTTATAGAAGATGCTACCCAAAAACTACTGAATATTCATTCTTCTCATGGAACATTCTCTAAGATTGATCACATCCTAAACCATAAAACATGACCAACAGATTTTAAAAAAAATAGAAATTATACCATGAATCTTCTTGGACCACAGCAGAATAAAACTAGAAATCAATTCCAGCAGAAACATTCATCCCTGCACAAAGTCATGGAAACTAAACAACCTACCGCTGAGCAATAGTTGGGTCAAGGGGGAAATCAAGGTGAAAATAAAAAGTTTCTTTGAACTAAATGATAAAAAGGACATAAGTTAACAGGAGGATCTTCAAGCTATACTTTAGGGTTATAGTAACCAAAACAGCATGGAATTGGCACAAGAACAGAGACAGACCAATGAATCAGAACAGAGACCTCAGATATAAAACGATTCTTACATTGCCATCTGATCTTTGACAAAGCAGACAAAAACATACACTGGGGTAAAGAATTCCTATTCAATAAATGGTGCTGGGAAAATTGGATAGCCATATGGAGAAGGCTGAAACAGGATCCACACCTCTCACCACTCACAAAAATTAATTCATGATGGATAAAAGACTTAAACCTAAGGCATGAAACTGTAAGAATTCTAGAAGAGGTTGGAAAAACTTTTATAGATACAGACCTAGGCAAAGAATTTATGAAGAAGACCCCGAAACCAATCACAGCAACAACAAAAATAAATAAATGGGATCTGATCAAACTAAAAAGCTTCTGTACAACCAAGGACACAATCAATAGAGCAAATAGACAACCTACAGAATGGGAGAAAATATTCACATGCTATACATCCAGTAAACGGCTGATAACCAGACTCTACAAAGAAGTCAATCAAATCACCAAAACAAGATTAAACAATCCCATTAAAAAGTGGGCAAAGGACATGAACAGAATTTTTCCAAAAGAAGACGGAATAATGGCTAGCAAACACATGAAAAAAACGAACATCTCTAATCATCAAGGAATACAAATCAAAACCACAATGAGATTTCACCTAGCTCCAGTGAGAATGGCTTTTATCAAAAAGTCCCAAAACAACAGATGCTGGTGAGGATATGGAGAGAAAGGTACACTTATACACTGTTGGTGGGACTGCACACTAGTATAACCTCTATGGTTCTTTGCAGGTATACCTCAAAGCACTAAAAGTAGACCTACCACTTGATCCAGCAATCCCAACACTAAGTATTTACCCAAAGGAAAAGAAGACATTCTATAAAAAGACACTTGCACTCGATTGTTCTAGCAGCACAATTCACAATTGCAGAGATGTGGAAACAACCCAAGTGCATGAATGGATTAATAAAGTATGGTATATGTATACCATGGAGCACCACTTAGCCATAAAAAATGAACGTTATAATACCTCTTGTATTACCCTGGGTGGAACTGGAGACCATTCTTCTAAGTGAAGTATCACAAGAATGGAGAAACAAACACCACATATACTTAGCATTAAATTGGAACTAATCAATCAACGCTTATGTGCACATATAGAAATAACATTCATCAGAAATCAACCAGGTGGGAGGGGGGAGGAGGAGATGGGCAAATTCATACCTAATGGGTACAATGCACACTTATCTGAGTGATGGGCACACTTATAACTTTGATTCAAATGGTACAAAAGCAAGTTATGTAACCAAAATATTTGTACCCCTGTAATACTCTGAAATTTAAAAAAATAAAATAAAAATTTAAAAGTCATTTAAAAGTGTAAAAAAAAAAGAAGAATAAAAGGAAAGAAATTTGACCACATACTGGGCCTAAAATTAAGTCTTAACAGCCACTTCTTATGCTAAGCAACACAACCTCATTAAGTTGGCCATTGGGAAGGACTGGCCACATGTAGGTAAGCTTGTTCCATAGAGGATTTTCAACTCTGGAATGTTTCCACTGGTCTGGCTTACTGGTCCCTTCATGTTTTATGGCCCATCTAAAATAAAATAAAAGACAAAAAGAAATTAAGCAAAGTTAAATGTTACTTTAAAATATTCATTTTATTCATTGAATACTTGCTATGTGCTATGCAAAGACCTCGTTTGAATTAAAAACCCAAATCTGATATGCTATTTATAACAGACAGAAATGAAAGTAATTTACAAATAAAAGAATAAAATTTTTAAGTTAGGAAAAGCATGCTTAAATTAAGTCAAAATTTGCAGTGTTATACTAGACAGAATTTTAGACAAAAGGCCAAGTAGAATAAAAGTCATTTTATAATAACAATGACAAATAACAATGTTAATGTAAAAATATGAAGCAAAGCTTTAGACTTTTAAAGAGAAATTAAACTGACATACAATTACTGTAGGAGACATTATTACATGACCAATAGATTACAAAGTATCAGGTAAATTTTTTAACTAATAAATAAGGACATAAAATATATGGCTGCTCTAACCAATACATGTAAGTATGACCATTTATGAATATTTATAGACATTATAGCATACTAACAAAAATATATATTTCTCAGAAATTCATGGAATATTTGTAATATTTGCCACATAGTCATAAAGTAAATTTTAACACAATTTTAAAATAAAAACTGAATAAGCCATATATTGTGGCAAATGATAGAATAAAATTAGATATATCGAAAGTTTAAATATTACAATTTCAACCACATAATTAAATAAACATACATTTTCTCTCCCAAAATTAAATTATAGCAAATAGGGGGAAAAAATAATGAGATCAATAGGTATTTCATAAGCAATGGAAATAACATACTTGAAAACTTATAGGATACATAGAGAGTTATATTCAAAAGTAAATTTATAATATTAAATAGTGCTAATTAATTAAGAGCTAAGAAGAGAAGGGAAATTAATAAATCATTCAACTCAATAATTTATTTGAAAATACAAGGGCTGTCCAGAAAGTATCCAGCTATGTAACTGTTCTTGTTGCATTAACAATGGCTGGATACTTTCCAGACAGCCCTCATATAAAATTGTCCTGTGGCAAATAGGTGGAAGAGAAATAATAAAGATTCAAATAGAAATAATTTAAGAAATAGAACCTCGGTAGAATGTCTCAAAGAAATGTTTTTGAAATAAAAAACATAACAGCAAATCTCTTACAAATAAATCTAGATTAATAAAAATACAACACAAACCAAATAGGAATATTGAGCTAAATATTTAACATAGCAAATATTAAATGTAATAGTATATTATATATGTATATGTTAATAAATACATTCTAATGAATAAATGAATTTATGGGGGGAAAAGGGCTCACAGTTTTAGAATAGAAAATAGAAAACAGAAAACATGCTCCTGTTCATATAACTTTGTGGGGCATGGGACATTATTTTCATGCTATACAAAATATTCAAAACCATAAAGATATAGAAAACTAGTTAATTCATCTCATGAAGGGGAGATAAGTTTCATTATAAAGTAAGTCACTGGTAATCTTAGAAGAGATACAGCAATCTTACTTATAATTAAAGATGTAAAATTCCTAAATCTATGTTAGCCAATAAAATATAACATTATTGGTAAGAGCATAATCACAGTAGCTAAGGAATACTAGAAATGAAATGATGAACAGAACAATGAACAGTTATTAATATAATACATCACTGATTAACGAATGAGAATGCAGGAGCAGTGGCTCACCCATAATTTTCTAGCACACATGAAGGTCATCTGTACCTAAGTTTTCTGAGATCACCCTAGCCCCATGAGAACTATCCACAATACTCAACTTTATGTTCAGTGATCCAAGTTTCCCATAAGTTTGCTGGAAATTCATGCAACCAGGACACCAGCGGTGTTGGAGACAGGAAAAGACCTGTTCCTTACCAACACGGAAGCAGGAGGAACTAAGTTTCCATGGACAGAAGCTCAAAGTGGTAATAACAGATAAATGTACCACTTCTAAAATCACAATTCCAAGAACCCCACTCTCTCACCACCATCTCCCTTTTTTTCTAGTTCATGTATTTATGTATCCAACAATTCCTCAGCTCCATCAGACACTCCAAGCCATTGCATCTATCACCTTTACATACTCCATAACCAGGTCAACTATTTGCTTTGTACTCAGCTAAGATCCATAGTCCAGCACTCTCTCTTGCTCTCGCCCTCAACCCATTGCCCCCTCTTTCTTCTTTGTGTACACTTGGAAAAAATATAAACCAATCCTGGTTAAGTCTGATTCTTTACCTATTCAAAACCTATAACTCAACAGTTGAACAGTGGTTAGAGAAAAACGCACAATGTATTCCTCTCCAGCTACTTTTCATGTGTTTTTACATGAATGAAATCATTGTAAATCAACAAAGCACAATGAAGGTGGGAGGTAGTATGAATATATTAGAGAGTATTTTGAGAATTTTAGGACTTTTTGGTTGTCACAATGATTAGAGGACACTACTGTCATCAAACTGGCTGGGTAGCAAGAATACCAAATATCCTTCAAAGTATGGGCAAGTTTATCATATATCACACAGACTTTCAGATTTCCCTCTAAGCATTCATGGAGATAAAAATTTACCTATCTGAGTCTAAAACCAAACTATATTTTACAAAAACACAAAGTATTTTTGCACAATTTTAATACATAATTAATTTTCTAGGAATTCAGCTCTCTCCAATATCTCAGGAGGGAAGATCTGTTTGATTTTTTAGTGTTGCTCACTCTTTTGGAAAAATCACATCCTTAATGGCACTACCATTCATGGTATTTTTGTCACCAATCTTTGGTATCTGTAGTTCACATATTCAGGTGATTCTGTGCATAGGAGCAAGTATCTGCCAACTTAATAACATTGTCTAATATAACTGTGCTGAGAATTTATATTGTGATATGCATTACTTTTACTTAAATTATTTTTCTTTTATTACCATTATTATTGCTGATCAGGCATTTCTTTAAAAATTGTATTATGGGTAGATTATATTGGCTGTGAATTTTATCTTAGGCTAGTAAAGAAGTCATTAAAAATATTTATAAGTGACCATCAGATCTGATAGTGTTGACAACTACTATTTTAAATTTATAACTACAAACCTCAAGCAGATCCTTTGGACTGCCAGGCCACCTCACTGCATCCCCTTGACACCATCCTTTTGAGGGGGACACCCTGTGCTTCTCATCAAACCTCTCACAACCCAATACCCACTTCTTGATGTCTGCTAGAGACCTTCTTATTTCACTGAGAAAACAGAAATGGTCAGAAAAGACTTTCTTCATCCTTCTATTAGCAAATCTACCAAGATCCCTGCTTCTGTATTCATTTGTTCTTCTTGCCCTCCTGGTACAGTGGAGCTATCTGTGTTCTGATCAAAGGCCAACACTTCTGCTTGTACTCCAGATCTTTATCCTCTCTTACCCAGGACTTTGCTCCTGCCCTGTACTATTAATTTCCCTTCTGGGTCATTCCATTTGCATAATGTCTGATGATCTGACATCTTAAAAAAAAAGAACCCACTCTGTACTCCACATCCACTTCTATCTGTTGCCTTATTTCTTTCTCTTTACAACAAATTTAAAAATTCATCTATTCTTCTTCTCTTCCCCTTCTCTCTTAAACCAATTCCAGTTAGATTTTCATCTCCGAAACTCCAATGAAACTTACTCATCAGGGTTTTCATATTACCAAAGCCAAAGATCACACACCTGAACCAACAGCAGTGTCTGACAATGGATCGTTCCATCTTTCTGATTGGGCAGATCCGATGGTTCTGAAGGTATGTGAGGTGAAAAGGATGTAATGTTAAGTCTCTGTTAAGCCCAATAAGAGAAATATAGTGTGGATCCTAAGATTCTTGAGCAAGACTATTTTCTTTGCAACAGTAAACAATTCTGTTTTTGAAAAACAATTTCTGGTATACTGAAAAGTTGTTTTTGAGACTGGAAAATGCATCATGAAGTGACTATGAAAACTGAGCAACCCATCATGCGCAGGGTGTTGTTCATGACATACGGTAAGACAATGCAGCTACACTCTGTTGTACAATGGAAGTGATACATTTAGAATCAGGCTCCAGGAAATCCAGAAGGCATGAGTCTTTTGTGCTAATTCCTCTCCCTTTACTTACACCTATGATCTTAAGGGAGTTTCTCAACAATCACTTGACAAATGGCAGAAGAACTTCAGCCTGGTTCACAAAGCTTAGCTTTGAAAGAGGTCAGTATGATATCTTAGCATCAGTCAGAGTTGAGTACTTCTACATTATAGTCACACTTGGGTGTGGCTCTGAAGGATAGTGGTGAAAAAAAAAAAAATTGTCCCAGTAGACTGAGCTGTGAGTAGAACACTTGGTCATCCGCTTTGTAGAAAGCAATAGGTAAACAGAGGTGTAGATATACCTTGATTCATAGGCTAGGATTAATGGTTTAGACTGTTGATCAGAAGCCTCAAGGAAACAAAACTGGAAGACTAAGGACATGAAATTTTGAGGACTAAGTAGGTGGATGGACCAAGGGGGAGAGGACAAAGCATTTGGATTTTTATTTTTCATGAAATAGAAGCATCCCTCAGGGAGCATCCATCACAGAAGAGGTTCTCAACAACCAATGGGCAGGATGCTCATAGCATCTCTATCAGAATGTTTATCCATAGACCTGATAACATTCACATTGTCTCAGACTAAGGGACTCATTTTACACAAAGGAGGCACATGGCGTACCACAGGATTTACTTCTCTTACATTGTATGTTATTACCCAGGAGCAGCTGGCCTAATAGAATAGAAGAAAGGCCTTGAAGTCTGAAGTAAGGCCCCACTTGGAGAAACACTAGTAGGGATGGGGTGCTATTTTAAAGGATCAGTATATACAGTGACCCCAGGAATATATGCTGGTATGTCCCCAATAGCTGGAATGTGTGGGTTCAGAAACCAGTTGTAGAGGGAGGATTGGCCCTTCTTGCTATCAATTTCAGTGACCTACTACAGAATTTATGCTTCTGCTTCCA